TGTAATTATTTAGCAGGGGAAGTCTTCGTAGAAATATCATCCTAAAGATTCAACAGCAGCACATTATGGTTAAGGCCCAACTGTCCTCATATTCCTGTGGGTGATATTACCCACAGCTGTCATTTTAAGGTTTAATATTACGTGAAATGCAACCCCCTAATAGGTTCTTGAAAACTGACTTGGAGAGTTTCTAGAAGCCTGATTGGTGGTCTTACAGGAGGGTATTTCTATTCCCGCCATGCCCCTCTCCTTCTAGTTATTTGTTTAAACTGTTCCCACTGGAGCGAATAGAGTTACAATTGCCAACAGCTTCAAGCCTTGCTGATTGGCTTATATCCTGTTGCCTGTAGCATTAATTGACATGCCGGATTAGCAGTTTGCAGCCACTCCTACTTGATTTGACCTCTTCCCTCATTCCGGTTAATATTCAGCTGGTCTATCCCCCCTATGCTGTCACGTCCGGCATCCCACAAGGAGCCCTGTCATGCTCGCAGTAAATTAGGCTCTGTATCGGATGGAGAAGCCTTGCCTTCCTCAAACATCTGCATAACGACACACCTTCAGGGGGAGGACATCGCATGGAGAAGTAGCTCATTTCAACATGGAAGAATAAAAGAGTAGACTTGAGAATAGATACGATGGATGATTTAATGCTTGGTTTAAATATTACCATTAAAAGATTAAAAGCCACTACATAGTAATCTGATATTGAACACAGATCAAAGATAACTACACATTTTTTTCTTGGTATAACATTTTCATGTAAAAAAAACAAGCAACAGAACCACACAGAGGCAAAAATCAATGACCTGTATAATAATTGAGTTAATCCATATATTTTATCAAATGTCAATGAATAAACGGATAAATAACATCTAGTTTTGAATACAGAATAATTTAAAGTGACAGAGATGACTCTTACTTTGGCATTTTATTAGCAGGCGTCAATACAATTATCTATATAAACTTGTCTGATTAAATAAAAAGTTATGCCTTTCATCTAGATCGTGTAGGTGAGCATATCTGAAGTGCATACACAATTTAACGTTGTCTCGATGTTCTGCATAGAATGTTCTGTCTCAGGGACTTCATTAAACTTGCGATATCATTTTCGATTTAAGACCTTCTTGTTTATGTATTCACTGATGGCACTTCTTATCCCTGATGTTTAACCGGTGCGCAGGCGAGACTATTTAAATCACAGAGAGAAGACCTTGTGCTGTACTGTATGTGCCTCAGAGATGACAGACACTATTCAGAGATTCCTTTTCAGTACACATTCATTATTAACATTTCTACATCACAAAACACTTCATATCAATCCATCTGGTCTCTGCGAAACCTTTTTTTCTAAAACTTTTTCAAAAGTTTTTATTCAATCTAAAACATATAGTCTTTCAATAGAAAAATAATCTCATATTTCAGCTTTTCAAATTTGAATTATTGCCTTATGTCTCATTTATGATGGTTTACTTCACTGTACATGCGTTTTCAAATAAAAATAATAATACACAATTATTTAATGTAGCCTTAAGCTGCTGCATTTTTGGCCAACAGGAAGAGAGTTGAAGTACCTTTGAATATGGATGAAGCTATTAATTAAAGTATCCTGCCCTGTTTGTGAGTGTGAAGTCTGCAGCTCCTTCTGAGACTGGAGCTACTTTACACCCCTCCACTCCCTCTGACCCACTTGTTTAACATGCCTAAATTATCAAGCTACACCGCCTCCAAATCCATCAAAGCAAACCCAATCCACTTTCCTCACCTTGTGATTCTCCACACCTTATGTCCATGCATACGATGAGCAGCAGCTCCTCTCCCCCAATTTAAAGTCAAGTCCAGCAGGAAACTGTATATAAAAAAGGCACCTTTCCCTTTGGAAATATGTGGTCCAGGATATTGCTTTGATGATACAGAATATTATGTTTGTGTGATGATATTTGTTGTGGGTGAGTTGGCAAATGCCTCATGTCACGGACTGATTTTCACTACATGTAAAAATAACCTCCTGAAGGCGGTGTCGACTGGTGAATCAGAAGAAAATGAATTAAATAGAACATTTTTACTTTTAATTCCAATAAATATGAATCCATTTGTCATTGTTTTTATGGACCAGCTTCAAACAGTGGTTCAACCTCCCCTGAAGAAAGGAGTTTTTAAGCTTGTTTGCATAAACAGAGTAACAACAAATGGAGATGGACTCCCGGTTGTATTGGAGGTTTTATTATTTTTGCCTTGTAGTATCTTTTTCTCCATGCAGGTAATTTCTCCCTGCCTGTTTGTCTTGTCTTATCTCTTAAGTCCCTCCACAGCTGGCTGTTTTATTTAGGCAGGTGAAAGCTCTTGACTGTGCTCCCTATCTTTGGCAGTGCAGCCGAGGCCTCATTGGCTGAGCTCAAAGATTCTATCGGTCCTGATTGTGGCCTCGCCCTCACGTTGTCATTCAGATCTTCTATTATTTCGTCGACCAACATGCTGCATCTTTTCCTGAAGGTTCTCCGTCTATAAAGCAGCAATTTGCCCTGCCGGAGATCCAGACTTACTGACAGTCCCTGCTGTCTCGCGATAGAGCGGTCACCAGAAACACACCCCATTAAGGCTCTTTTATGTAGGTTTAAATTACGCTGCCATTGCGTGGGTTTGCACAGATTGTTTTGGCTGTCGGGGTTATTGTCTGCCAGCTTATGTGGAAATACATTGGCTGCGAATGACGACAGTAAAGATGAATAACTTTCTATTCTTGCTCTGCTGCCCACACATCTCTTTCTCCCGCTGTGCTCATGCTGGTGGCTTTGCACACAACTCAAGAAAGAACCATAAACTGCAGAAAGTTTTCAGGCTGTATTCCAAACCAGTGGTTAAAAGAGATGCAAATCTTTCAAAGATGGAGTTCATTTCCTTTGGCAAGACACCAGCTTGTTTAGCATTTTAACTTCTCTAAGGACTTCAACTTTATGCGGTTGATAAGGCTACATTGTTTTGTCGACGCAGTGTTTCATTATCTTCGTAGCTTTATGTTTATCTAGAGGCAGCATAGCCTACTCAGCTTTTCACTGCATGTTGTGGATGCTCGGTCACAATAATAAGCCTCAGTACATACAGTAGGCCCGGCTTTGCCAGCCATTGTAATGGGGCCCTTGTGTCAGGTCCTTGTTAGCTGATTGACAATAAGCTCTGGCCTAATGAAGTGTAAACCAGAGATCTGGGAGTCTGCGAGTGGGCCAGATGAATATGACCGGCAGCCTTTATGCGCAGCAGAGAGCTCAATGCTAATGCTATTAGCCAGGAGGTCAGTCCATTGCGCTTCACCCCTGCTCAGTTTATCAGCACTTCATAATATGGTGGATGTAAGGGCACAGTGTTGAAACAGTTGAGTGTGATATCTCTCCGAGGATGATTAGAGAGAGAAATGGGTTCACGATGGGCATGCGGACTGATTGCAGCTGTGTTGGAATGATCACAGACCTTCTGCCCTTTACAGGCTTCCTCTGTGTTAAGGTTTGTCCACTGGAGAGCGTTGCAGCTCCGTTGGGCCCCCATCTGGCCGGCTTCCTCTCTTCCTGTGCGTTCATTAACAGTCCATTTGTTGCTCCTGCCCCGAGGAGCCATCCTCTGCTGCTTACTCACTCAGCTCCTGCTAATGCTGCTGATGAGCCCTTAATATACAGATGGTCCACTTCATGCAGCCTTATTAAGCCTCAGCACTTTTTATACTCTGCTTCTCACCAGTTGTATCCATTTTGGATTTGAACATTTTCTCTACCTGCTTTAAATGAGATGTTTATACACAGTTAATTTGCTATTTGGTCCAATATGAGTACATAAACTACAAATTATTTCTGTGTAAAAATGCACGATGTTCTATATTCATTTACCATTCTAGAGGTGATTGTAAGACACTATTAGTATTCATAGCCAACCACCATTTCCCCATATGTTAACCCTAATAATGCATATATAATGCATTAACTAGTTGTAATTCAGAGAAAGTGCTATCATTTCCTGATAGCTCTTTTCTGATGCTCGTGTGATGGTGTCCTGGTGTGTTTGTCCGCACCACTGTGCACAAACACACAAATTAACCCTTTGCATGTTTCTCTTCTAGCCAACGCCGGGGCCTGTTATGCTAAGCAAGGTAACTCACCGGGCGAATGGCTCCCTGCTCTTCCATCATGCTTACATTTTAATTTTTTGCAGTCACTTGTTTTTTTGTGTTACCATACCGTCTCCTTCCAGCTGTCTCCTTTTTGCATATGCTTTCAATATTGGGCTGTGTTTCTTTTCAATTAGAGCGCTGACAAAAGGCCAAAGGCTGTCAGAGTGATGCGCCTCCTTTAAAAATGTAAGTAAGAATCAGTCACCTCCAGACAAGAGACGGTGAGAATATGTAGAGTAAGTGGCAGAGAATGTCAAGGGATGGAGGGAACTCTCAGATAGATGGACAGTAGTTGGTGAAAAAGAACAAGGACATTTATAAAGGAAGTGTTGCCTCATGTTCCCAACTGACTTTCCATTTCCTCAATTTTCAGCATTTTGCTTCTCTGTGTTTCCAAAGGAAACAACGTAAGGCACTTGAAATGACAAGCAGGCATATCACAATGGAACATCCAGCCAAACAAATGCAGCCCCATCCTCTTGCTTTGATCTATTGCAGAAGCATTTTACTTTCTCATTTTTCTTCCCTTTAGAACTTGAAATCAATAATTCTGCAGGGAAATGCTACATCCTGGTGGCAAATAGTCTAACATCCAATTCAATTTGTTCTCTCTCTCTCTCTCTCTCTCTCTCTCTCTCTCTCTCCTGACCCCTCTGCCTTTTCTTCCCACTCTTTGCTCCCTTTGTTTCCACCCATGTTTGCCTGCTGTGTGTGTATGCACGTCTTCACCCTGAAATCGTTCTGCATGCGTGTGTGGGTGTTGAATCACCTCGCACTTTCCAACCCTTCCCTCTTCCTTCCTTTCCCTTATCCTCCTTTCCGCTCTTCTGTCCTCGTCCCACAGATCCCGAGCGTGGTGGCAGTCACATGATCTCCACAGATGACCTGGAGTATCCGCGAGAGTACCGGACATTGGGGAACAGCGCTCGCCGCTTCTCCAATGTCGGCCTGGTGCACACGTCGGAGCACCGGCACACGGTCACGGCGGCCCAGAGCCTGGAGGCCCTCACCAACCTGCACAAGGTGGACATGGAGCGCAAGAGGGACGCCTTCATGGACCACCTGAAGAGCAAGTACCAGCAGCAGCAGCAACTGCAGCATCCGCATCACAGCCCACACCACACCCCACCCTCTCCCTCACCCTCCCACGGCAGCATGAGGGGGACGTCAGAGCGGGCTGCACGAGAACAGGTAAAAAGTCATACCTGGGGAATGGGATTGTGTTTTTCTTTCAGGACTATCCTGTCATTCAGAGATACTGTACGTGACAAACTGATCAATACTGTCAATTTGATTAGAGAAAAAATATGTCACATGTAGACAGGCCTATTTACATGCACACGTAATACTGTAGTTGAGGTATCATCAGGTTGTCTCTTGTCAGGACCATTTCTACACATTGTGCTTATTAAAATAATTGAGAGAGAGAATAAGGAAAGGCTGTCAGAGGGTCTTTGTATGGGGGTTATTAGAGGTTGTCATTAAACTGTCACAGCCAAGCTTTCTTTGTTTTATTTTCTGCAGCCAGGACTTTACATAGACTGGCTCTGTCGAGGTGTGAAGGAGGATGGGAAGTCACACACATTCTGAATGTTTAAATGCTAATGCTGTTCTCTAAACAATTAAGGATAATGTTTCTCCTTTGCTTTCTGTCTCTTATCAATTATTCTCCCCCATGAGATGTAGTTTATAATTTGACCACTTTCACAGACTGACATGCACAGGTACACACACACAACATTTACACTGTACTGTGCACAAACACCCTCTCTCATTGTGTGAGCTCTACTGCTGTGTGTGTATTGAGGAAAAAAGGTTAGATTTGGTGTAAAGACATGACAGAAAAGAACATCAGGGGAGAGAAGAGAATGAAAGGGAGAGAGAGAGCGATTGAGTGAGAGCAAGCAAGGGAGGGCGGGTGATAGGCAGGTGGAGTCCATAGTTGCCGTGGCAACCTCGCCCATAAATGGCAAGTAGGGATATCGCGTTGCAAAGGTCAGGTTGTATGAAGAGAAGCAAGAATTGTGCAATGATGAAGACCGAAGGGAGAGGGAATTAACGAGACGGAGAGAGAGGTAACAAAAAAAAATAAATGTAAACAAAAGCCGGGAGAGTGGACAGATGCAAAAGTATTTTCCGTTTACGGGGGAGGCAGCAGCAGAACCCGGGATTTCTTGTCATCTCGTGGATGTGCAGAGCATGGACAGTGAGGAGCGAGGGAGGGGGGGAGGAGGAGGAGGAGGAGCTGGAGAGGAGCGCAGCAGCCAGTCAAGCAGCCCGCTGCTCAATTAGCCAACACCAGCAGGAGCCAGCCACCCATCTGCGAAGGAGTTAATCGGCTGGTGTTGTAATGAATTAAATAAAGAGTTTCCGCCGCATGTGCTACTGGAGAGCAAGACACAGAGAGAGAGAGAGAGAGAGAGAGAGAGAGAGAAAGAGAGGGGGAGAAAGGTGGCCTGAGCGAAGGGAGAGGGAGGGAGAGACGGGCAAAAAACACCATGAGGCATCGCTGCACCTGACCGACAGCCTGGGATGACTGGAGTAGTGGACAGGTGCACTGCAGGTGAGACGGGACTGCAAGCTGGAGGCTGTTGTAGAGAAGGGTGTGTGTGTGTTTGTGTGTTTGTGTCTGATAAGGATGCACGAGCTAGGATTAGATTCCACGCCTGTTGTGTTTATGCTGGTTGTTGTGGTGACGGGGGCTGCATATGCTCGGCAGGCTAGACGAAGGCTGAATGGACGATAGTGTAAACTGCACACAGCCTCTTGTGCAGCCTTTATTTGCCGTGGTGGCTAGTGTAGGTGTATTTTAAATGACAGACAGAAGGGGACAGGGGCTGCGGTAACGTTGGGATGCCAAGCCAAACCGGAGGAGGATTGAAGGGGGGGGGGAAAGAGTAAAGCGTGGTTGAGATCAGAGGGGGGCGGGGGTGCAGAAAGGATGACGACATGAGAAAGAGCCGGAGGTGGAGGAGGGGTGCAGCGAGTGCAGCCTGCTTTACATGCCGGTCAGGTAATGCAGCGCTACGCTCTGCGAGGCTACGTCCTCCTGTTGGAGCTCTGTAGACAACTCACAAATGTATTCCTGGGTGTCTCTACGTGCATTCAGCTCTTTAGCCCCAGGTTTAATCCGACATTTCAAACAGGCATCAGTACAACTGTCTCTTCGGGGCTCACAACGTATTAAATTCAACAGGAGGTTAAATATGACAAGGTGCACATTTGAGCTAATTAGTAGAGCCTCATTGGAGAGTTTTGTCTCTCATCAGGGATTATGTCTGAATGAATTAGTGTGATAACGGTTGGCAGTATAAAATGATGTCTTTGTATAATTTCTGCACAAAATAAAATGCAATGTAATTACTAGGATGGAGAAGTGTTAAGGGGTTCTAACAACGTAAAAAAAAAATAGGCTCTCTGGATTTTCATCGTCTGAGTGCAGTATTTGCAACTCAAAGTCCAAGTTCAATCAGCTGAGCAACAGTTAAAACAACACGAGGCGGGGGATTGTGAATGTGTTGACATTCCCTGAAAACTGTGAGTAAGCCTCATTAAAGCACAAAGAGAAAACCCTGGCAGAGACAAACACACCACAAGACCACGAATGACTTCCGCACCATTAAAGCCAGCCTTCAGAGTCATTTAGCTTTGTGGGAAAACAATATCATTAACATTGCCTAAACAAGTGAACAGCAATTATGTATGATGCTCCAATGCTGCCTCGAAGCCGCTCTGGATTGAACAGATTGTCAAGGACGAAGCTTTACTGAATAAATGACTGACACATGGCCAGGTTGTCAAGGCCAACATGAGTCCAACCTCCCCTCATGTCTGATCTTATCACCATTGACCCACTTTACCCATGATCCCTCACACCTGAGTCCTATTGAGAATTAGCTTTCTGACCACTTCAGAGGAGATGCTGATGTTTCATTCAGATCGCTCATTGTCCTGTTTAAATAAGACACAATTCCTTGTTTAAATCTATGTAGTAAAGCTATGTTTTTTATAAAGGTGTTCTAATATTAACCCAAAATGGAGAATTTAATCCTTTAATTCTCCTTGACAGGCGACCATATTACCTAAAAAACAAAGCAGAAAAAACGACCCTGGAGACATAAATTCTCCTTAGCGTCACATCAAAGAGTTCTCCTACTAATATTTACTTCGACATATGTTGGTAGAAATGTATATGCTATGGGAAAAAAGTAAGTGTGGGTGGAGATTATGCTCCATATCATTTTAGTCACACTTAATGTTAGAGTGTCTCGGCAGATATATCACACAAACTTTTCTTTTACATCTCAAAGTAAAACTGTAAAAACAGTACAGCAACATTATTTGGCAGACAGAAAATTGTCCATGTAAATGCTTTGGAATAGCTTCTAGGCCAGGGGTCACCAGGCTTTTTTAGGGTGAGAGCTACTTTCAAAAGATAAAACAAGTCGGGGGCTACTTTTACTCCTCTTTTTTTTGTTTTTTGCAGTGTATATATTTAGCACATTTTAACGTTATTATATGCTGACCTTTAACCTTTGTGTGCTGTTTGGGTCTGTGGGACCCGTTCTCAGTGTTTACTAAAAGAAAATGTATTCAATTTAATTGTTTTAACCTGCTTTATTTGGGGGTGGACCTCACCTCCTCTAGGGGGGTCCTTACCTCCTCTAGGGGGGTCCTTACCTCCTCTAGGGGGGTCCTCACCTCCTCTAGGGGGGTCCGGGGGCATACAACCCCGGGAAGATGTTTGTTTAAATGTTGAAGTTAAAAGCATCAATCTGGTGCACTTTGAGCATAACATGAATTGATGGAAACAGCTCTCAACACTCAGATGAAAGAGAGCTGTATACTTTTCAATAATCCAAACATCTTTAGAATATGATCACAACCAATAACAAATCATTTAAACTGGTTTGTTCTTATCTTATGTTACCTAGTTAGCATTCTTTCTTTTTATTTATGCATATTTTACTAATCACTCCCCTTTCAAACTGTTTTTTGATTTGTTTTACTGTCCTATAGTACACATTGGAATGATTTCTTACTTTATCTATATTAAATAGATAAAGGTGTGCTCTCCCTAGCTCTCTCGCTCTCTCTCTCTCTGTCTCGCTCGCTCACAGAGGCTGTGTGCTCCTCCGTGGCGATGACGGGATTTAGAAAAGTTGGGGGACATGTCCCCCCTGTCCCCAGTGGAAATTACGCCATGCGTGTGTGTGCGTCAAGTGCAATAAATATATATGCAAGTCGCAACACACACACAGTAAAACTCTGCCCCTCATGTGCTGTATAGGCTGGCACGACTAGGCTGTTCAATGGGGCTGATGTGTTGTGTAGATTCTGCCAGAAGGAAAATCAGCGGTCACACTCCTTATGAAGTGCGGTGAGCTGCCGCTCCACATTGCTTTTCTTCCCGACTACAACGCTGGTCCCACAAATCAACCAAGAACGTGATTGGTCGATATTCATTGTGGGGGGAGGAGGGGTGTTAGATAGATATAGAGTTGTAGTAAGTAGATAGAGTTCACTATGATTGAGGTTTCGTTTATGCATAGGGTAGATTCTTTTAATTACATTTCCTTTTTTGTTTTGTGTATTTTTTACATTTTGGATTTGCTTGGCGAGCTACTTTTAGTGGCGACTAAGTGCCCGCGGGCACCGTGTTGGCTACCCCTGTTCTAGGCCTACTGTTTAGAAGGTTCTGTGTAGTTGTTTAGTTTCAGATAATTGAACTTTTTTGTATGTCCTAGTTAGTAGAATTTATTGGGTTTCATTATGTTGCTGTGATTGTGTACAAATACGAGTTTGGTATATTATACCACGGCTATGTTGTTTCCCATTTGTTATGGTATTGCTCTTCTAATCCTACTACTATTCGTTTTAAGCATCTTTAAGTAAAGTATGTTCATAAATAAGTTATATATAATGGTTGAATTTTTTTTGTTTTGTTATATTAACTACAAATGAGTATATTATAGATATATTACCTACAGTTATTAACAGTTAGTATTTAGTATAGAAGCTGAACACAGACTTTTCTTGCATATTAACTACCAAATATGTTGAAGGAGTACATGCAGTATGCTTTTAGTGTGTAGTATAAATTGGGACACAGATCAGGCTTCTTTTAATACACAAGTGGTTACGAACGAGAACATCTTTGCCTGGTTTCAATGCCGTCAATACAGTAGGTTAATCTAGTTCTGTATTTAATTTAAAAGAAAGCTTCAGTGCTGTTTAGACAAGACTCATAGCGCCGAGCTCTGTGGCGCCGAGCACAGTATGTGTGCTACACATGTGGAGCCACACACACACTGGGCCCGACTCCGTAACACATGTGTGATCATCTCAGGGTGCAATAAAGAGCAGGCAAGAAAGCAAATAATTATTGAAAAGTTTCAATTCAGAATCAAGGCATCGTCTGATCGGCTCTTCTGATTGACCTTTATAGAGACCACAAATCCAAGTCTTGACAACTAATACCAAGTGTTGACCCTTGGTGGGCAATCAATTAATGCACCAAACCTGATCAAAACTTCAGCAAAGCCAACATAAAATGTAATAAAAGGCGAGACATACACAACACAAAATATTTAAATATTAGCATTATTATTTAATCATCGCTGAGTGTACTTTTGCCCAGGAACCATTACCACTTAAGCAACAAATTGCACAACAGAACATTAATAAGAGAGAAAAAGACTAGACAGCACAGAAAAATAATAAAACCAAAGATAATGTCAAAGAATGGCAGCAGGGCCAAATGAGGGAACAATAAATCAAAGATAAGCTTGCAATAAGGTTATTAACGGTTGATATCACTCTCCCTGTAATGCTAATGTATACTGAAATAATACAGGCTTTTGTTGAGACAGTATTACCACCAACTATCATAAATCAAAACTTGCCTGTCACTTTTTTTCCCTCCCTGTTCCAAGAGAGTAATGTGGTTCCTGCAGAAGGGAGGAAGAATGGACTGGAAATTGCCATCAGATAAGAATAGGAACTAGAATAAGAGTTTGGATTAGAATTAAAATTCATGAACTCTGCCCAATTTTCCTTGTCATTTTGAGGTATTCCTGGGCCATCAATGACTTGGCCTGGATTCGACTGGGGGGTTATTACGTTTTAATGGAAAGCTCACTTCCTGAGGCCTTGGCCAACATGCAGCTTTTTTTCGCACTTTGGCAGAGCAGCAGGAAGGGCAAATGGGCACATGAGTGATTCAGCATGGAGAAGAAAAAGTGGTGATGTGGCGAGATTTAGATGAAAGAGCAGAGCAGGTGGATTCAGAGTGAAAGAGACAGCCGAGTGCGAGGAGGACACGGAGCCGGTGGTGGAGGAATCTGGGAGAGAGTCCAACATCGGAACAACAGAGTGGGCTGCTGTTTGATTCGATTTCACTCTTTTCATTTCCTTCCCTTTCACCAGTAACAGCCAACAGTGCAATCTTGTTTCAGGTGCTCTGTAACCTGAAGCCTGCAAAACACAGCCGCCCCCCGCATTAACACCAATCAAACTTAACGATTCTGGTTCGGATTAGATGAAGCTGTCAACAATTTTATTGAGTTTCCTATAGGGCCTGTCAAAAATGGAACGCAACAAGGAACTCATTTAGGAAATGCAACCGGTTATACTTCTCAAGGAGGATGCTTTGGATCTCAGTGTCAAACACCTCACATCTCCTCTCCAGTCCAGCCTGTTCTATGCACTTAAAAAAAAAAAGATGTATTTATGTCATTGATCCTCTGTTATTATTTCAGAAGCAAGTCCCTAACTTTTCTCTTTCTGTTTCCCTCCCCTTCCCTATTTTGTCCTTCATAATCTCAACAGCAACAGCAACAGCAACAGCCCAACTACTGGAGCTTTAAGGTCAGTGCTGCTTGTCTTACTGTCCCTGTGTGTTTGTCATCTTCGTGTGTGTGTGTGTGTGTGTGTGTGTGTGTGTGTGTTGAGGGATTACGTCAGACTCCTCGGGCAGCACCAGTCTATCTCCTTGGTTCTCTGGCTTCTGCGACACCCAGATCACTTGACATCTCTCGGCTCTTTGGGCAGTGTGTGTGTGTGTGAGAGTGTGTAGTGGCAGAGGTGTCAGGGGTGGCGAGAGCTTAAACTTCTCCAGCTCCATTTAATCTGCAGAAGGAGATTCTCTCAGTATTTATGATCCCTCAGGCAGCTGGCATTAATGGCTAGAAGCCATGTGACCCTTCTGAAGTATTACTCACACTGACTGAGACATTAAGTAGACATTTCAGACATGCCGCTGAGGCATTACTGAAATAATACTTTGACATTAGCACAGAGGCTTGAGTCATGGCTGGGCGGCTGAATGTGTTTTATTCACAGGTTGCAGAGAGGCAATAAGTGCTAAATGAACTGGAGAAGACCAGCGTCAAGATGTATAGAAAGTGTTTATCTATTTAGAGAGTTGAACCAATTTTGTAGCTTGTGTGTTTTTTTAATGTGTATCACTTTGTTGTGGCATTACACTGCACAAAGGCAGGCAAGGAGGCGTCCTATCTAAACAGAGAGTTAAAGAACGTTTAATGTGCGTGAGAGAAGAGCCTAAGGCTTCTCTGCGGTGTAGTCTTCCCTGAATCCCTGCTTACAATATCATTTGGACAGGTTGGAAATGTCACTGAATATCAATGTCCTTTGCCCTGACCTATAGGGAAGGCTGAGCAATATATAACTCACTCACACAAGTACTACAACCTCAAGCAAGAGTGATAGAAATAGAATTTAGAGCCCCGGCCATCAGATAAATCCAAAACCAGAGGATTTCAACTCTGCAGGACTTTCAAGTGGTGGTTTGCAAAAGCTCTCTGGATGTTTTTGTCAAAGATTTGTCAAACATTACACAGACACATGCTCATGTTTGTTGATAAAGAATAACATTTGTAAGTACGTGTGTCTAGCACTACTGAAAACTTTGAAAACGTTGAACAAGAAAGATCTGTAACTACGGACAACTTTCATTATGGATTATATCAACAGATTAGTTTATCTTTTGGTTCACAATGACAAAATTGTAAATGCGTGCTAATCATAATTTGTATTTTCCATGTAACCAGCCATAGAGAAAGATATTTGTTTGAGAATGAGTTGAAAGCAGAGGGGAACATTTTTTTTACACACCAGAGAATGATTAAAACATTTTCTTTCCTGTAGTGTGTTATACAGGTTTTTGTGCATGTAAATGGGCTGCATAAAGTATAAATAGCATCAATTGGAAATACTCAAGGAAAGTACCATTACAGAAAAATGGTACTTAAGTACAGTACTTGACTATTATGTACTGTGACTATTCACCACTTTGCAGGGATATGGAATAATGCACAGTTAAACTGGGATACAAAAAAAATAGTCAATTTTACGACATGTTGGTGCCTGCTGTGTTTTCAAGAAAATCATTTCCAACAATCTCAGCCATCACCTCCTCTCTCAAAGAGAACGACATTCTGCTCCCTTTTCTTCTGAGCAAACCGTTTAATATCGCTGCGTAATTTACAGCACTTTAGCAAAGCGATTGGTTCCCTGCATTGACACCTCCAGGTATATAAGAGAATGGGGTTTGGGGGGGTTGGGGGTTGTTTGTCCAGGCAGAAGATTAAGGTTAGAGATGGATTGATTTTAGGGAGCCGTTTTCTTCCTCCATTTTCTAAAAGTAATAGGTGTGGACTTGTTTGTTGTGAACGAAAAGCCAGCTTATAGTTGGACGGAGACAAAGCAGGCTCAAAATCTTGAACTGCAGAAAGTGACAGCACAATCATGTCACCTGGATGAAGCTTTGACCTCTGTCACTAGAGACTGAAGCAGAGGAAGATCTGTCGACGTTGAGCAGCTCAGCAAGAATCAGAATTGAGCTTTGGGAGTGGACAGATGATTGGCAAGAGATACAACAAAAAGATTGGAGGGAGACGTACAACCTGAAGCAAGCTTTTCAGAAAGAGGAAAATATCATTAGAAGAATTGTCATAAAGAAATAATGGAAGAGAAGAGATGTGGTTAGGCGTGAGGTTTGTGATATTCACCATTTCACACCTCAAGTTTTCAAGACTATACTCAAAAGCCAAACATTTCATTGTCATTTCACACACATCGAGTCTGTTCCTGACATTTCCTCGCTCAACTCCATCAGAATGTCAAACCACTTAAGAGGGAAATGACTACATTCAGGGAAAAGATCAGAGAGAAGAGGCTAGCAGCAGCGGCAGCAATTGTGTGGTCAGCTTCCCTCTGGACTCCAACACTTTCATATGTGGTAACGCCTACCAAACCACAGCCTAGATAGTTACAGACTGGCTAGTGTGCTTTTATTCATTTATGCAATTTTGCTGGATGTATTTGCAAGAAAGATACATGGGGAGGCTGTGGCTCAGTGGGTAGTGTGCTGGACTTTGAATCAGGGGATAGCAAGTTCGAGTCCCACTGCAGTCAGCATGTCGTTGTGTCCCTGGGCAACACACTTCACCCCAAGTCGCTCCTGTGGGGATTGTCCACAATACTGAATGTATGTAAGTCGCTTTGGATAAAAGCGTCTAACAAATGACATGTAATGTAAATACATGATGTACTGAATGCTGAAATCTCTCATCTTAAATGAGCCTTATCTTTGACTGAGCATGCACTGCCCATTTCTATTGTATTGTATAATGATACTTATACTTTACATTATGCTATTTCCCACAACATATATCAATTTGCCATTTTTAACGGGTAGAACCTGCAACTTTAATGCTTAATGCACTGTTTGGATGATTCTAAAGAATTAAAAATAAATTAATATTTTCATTCCAAAAAATAAAAACAACACCCTCAATCGGTTTTGTCCGATAAAAAGAAGGAAAAAAAAGAAAATTCAGACGATTAATTTCTCAACAATGTGTACGTAACAAAAGAAAGACAGCATTACTTTCAAATGATTTTACCATGAGCGGAAATTAAGAAAAAACATTGGAGCCGCAGATGGCTGGAAGAGACAGACAATATGGTGTGTTTCGTTGTCTGCTCTGCATCAAGTTCAATTTTATTTGACAACAGTCTTAAATAACAGGCTAACCACAGTTCATACCAGCACAATTAAAGAATTTGTAGGGGTGAACAATTCAGGGTTTAAACGTAGCTTAATTCTAATTGAGTGCTGCCTGGCATCAACACTGTTTCCTCACAGTGTGTTAAGCATCTTTAAAGCTGATTCTCTTCTTATTTGTTTGCATTTTTCAACCAAAATCTCTTCCAGTGCCACTTGAACTTAAAACAGAGCGTCCCTGTGTGCGTGTGTACGTGTGAATGCGAGACAGGAAAAAACATGGCGGAGGTTGAATTGAGTTTAATGCAGTTTGTAGCCTAAGGTCTGCCGTCAGACCTCTGTGTCCCGATTTCCCCCCCCCCCATTCACTTCTGTTCTGAGTAAGATCATCATGTTCCCTACTTGTTCCTCTCCTCTGCCGTGCCCTTAGAATAGTGTAGAGTTCTCAACAATAATTGAGTGCTGTTGAAAAAGTCACTCTAAAAGAAAAGGTTGAGGGGGGAGGGGGGCAAGAGGGCAGCGGTAGAGGGATGATTGTAGAGAAAAATAAGAAGGAGGTAGAACCAGTTTCCCTCGTATCAGGCTGTGAACACAGTCATGTATAACACTGGCATGTCTAGCAGGACCAGATGGTGCCTTCACATATAATATTTACAATGTTAAATTCCTACATAGAGAGATTTTCTGTTTTCATATCACATAAACCACCAATATGGATGCCAATGTATGTAGCAAGGCAAGCTGACTAGGAGCAACAGATTTGGTGAGATTACACACATTCATACATCGGTTTCGTTGTCTTTTTTAACAGATTATTTATAGAAGAGGGTATAACATAGCACATTCACTGTTTTCAGCTGGTTCAGAAATATAAAACTTTAGTATGCAAACATTGTGAGTCTCGAGCTCCATCATGCAGCGTATTCTCAACTCCCTCTGCCTTTTCTTAGAAAACTCCAGCTAGGTTATTTAGTCTTGAAATAAAATTCCTGCATGCGCTATAGTAGAAACACGGAGATTTTGAAACAGAGTTCCCCTTTTAGCCAGGCAGAGAAAAAAATTACCATATACTCCCTGAAGAAAACTCCTTTGACATGTTTTACACATGGTGGGGCTTTCTGCCAATCCCGTTAATACTGGAAACTGGTATTGCATTTTATGCCAAATATATCTCTGTGTGTGACTTCCCCTGAGAAATAGTGTTGGGCTCGGGCAGCTGGTTTCTCTACAGATCCCGTTCCAGGTAGCCAAAATACCTGTAATGAGAGTCCAACAAATGATAAAATCTTTTATCAACCGGCTGTTTTTTGTAATTATTGAGAAGTGATATGTAGCCGACTGATATTTTTACGGTGCCAGGCTAGCTGATTCCACTTGCTTTTGGTCGTTGTGCTATGCTAAGCTTAACAACTGTCAATTTTAGCTTCATATTAACTAAAGAACTACCATAGGCTTCATAACATAAGTGTGCCATAAGCAGAGTGGAAAGCAGGAATGCAAAGATACTTTGTTTCATAGAAAGGACGACGAGATAAAATGCTATTGGACACTAACCTTATGTGTAGTACTGTATCTCACCCCCTTATATGTTGTATTTCCCACTGTAGCTGGCCAGAATATGACACAGTGATGCAGCGTATGTGCTTCTCCTCTGTGTTGTTGTTCAGTGTGGTCACATTCTAGATGAATGAGCCCATTAGAAAACACGGTGGGGGTTATCTGTCAGCATCAGCGTCCTCTGCGTGCTCAGACACTGTCTGCCACCACTATCACTGGACACCACCACTATCATTCTGTGTGTGGGTGTGTGTGTGACTGAATTATGTATGGTAGCAACAGAAGGAATCTTACATTAAAAAAAGATAGCTGTGCTTTTTAGTCATGATATGGGGTTTGTAACTTCCCTTGTAAACACAAGTGATACATGGCAGTAACTTTAAAAAGCAAATAACCGGTGATGATAATAGTTACATGACATAACAGCTCATTCACTTTAATGTAGTAAAGCAAAGCATAATGTATATCTATTAATTAAACAAATCATCAAAAATCATTTCAAATGTACGGAGCCCCTAAAGGGACATGAAAAAAAAGTCAGGATAACGGGTTAGTATCTCGTGCTCACGAGAAACTAACCCGTTATCCCGACTTTCTTCTTTTTTTTGAGAAAGTTACCGGTGCGCCAAGGAGGAAGTGGAGCGCACAGGAGACAACCATTTCATTGCAGACTGTTATGTTTACGTGGGGAAATGACAGTGCATACAGTACATTATTTGAGATATATTTCGTACTCAGACTTCATTTTAAGGACATTTCGGCCAGGGGTGTGTGGTCACTCCAGGAGGCAGCGGGGCGTGTAACTCAGAGAAGAGCAGCACCAGCGCTCAAAGAGCTTTTACGCACCGCCTACACTGAGTTTACTTTCATTGGAACAGCTAAAGAGTGACCGCAGGCTGTTACGTTTTAACCACACACACCTCTACACACACACACACCCTCTACACACACACACCTACACACACACCTCTACACACACACACACCCTACAACACACACACCACACACACACACACACCACACACACACACACACACACCTCTACACACACACACACACACACACCTCTACACACACACACACACACCTCTACACACACACACACACACACACACACACACACACACACACACACACACACACACACACACACACACACACACACACACACACACACACACCTTTACACACATCGAACTGCCCGATTACTCCCCCTTTTATTGGTTTTATGAAGGAGATCACGATGGGCGGACTGGGACTAAAAATCAGCCCAGGAATCTCACCCAGCCCAGCCCACGTAAACTGTCAACTGGGGGGGGCTAGTGAACTGCCAGCGGGGGGGAGCCCGACCGGCCCACTTCGGTACCGGCCCATCGGGATTCGTCCCGATGACCAGTCCGCCACTGGGGGACACATTCTGTGTGTGTGTGTTCTGAGTGTTTTTTTCCCTTTAAAACAGCTGCGGGCAGCAGGTAGCCTACTCTGAGAGTCACGGACATTAATTCATAGATCAAAGCAGACTGGTTTACAGAGTCTCCTGTTTTGCCAATCCGGTGCTTAAACAAATAGCTCTACACCCCTGGCCGAAATGTCCTTAAAATTAAGTCCGAGTTCGAAATATATCTCAAATAATGTATGCACTGTCATTTCCCCACACAGTCTGCAATGAAATGGTTGTCTCCTGTGTGCTCCACTTCCTCCTTGGCGCACCGGTAACTTTGTCAAAAAAAAAGAAAAAAAAGAAACTAGAAACTAACCCGTTATCCCGACTTTTTTTTTCTCTCTTTTTTTTTTTTTTTTCATGTCCCTTTAGGGGCTCCGTACAAATGTGGTCAATTTAATACGACATATAAAATATAATGGAAAATAATACATACTTTATTAAATTATAAAAAACAGGATACAATTTAATACATAGATGGCATAGCATAAAATGGGAAATAAAGTTACAAATTACAATATTTAAATAATGCGCATATTTAGAAAATGCACATATAACACCACAGCTAAATCAGAAAGTATTTCAACTTTGCGTTATTTAAAAATGAATCACTTTCGGAGTTTGGCTGTTGGTTACAACAAATCATTCAATTTGAAAATGTCTACTGTGAAATTGAGATGGAAAATGTCTTTACTTTTGAATAAATATTTCAAAAAATGTAAATAAAGGGAATCCCTAGCTGTTGTATTGCGTCTTGTTTTACAGCCCAAGTCAAACACATGTTGTGAAGCTTCTAACAGACTGTCATGTTAATTAAATAATATATGAATGGAAGCCACAGTGAATCCATGCTACACATTGGGGAAGAAAAAATAAATCCTTGAAAGTGGGGAGAGCAATTGTGTTCATGGCATGGTGAAAGGATGAGGGAACCAGCACAGCTACTGTACTGTGGCTAAGGATGTGTCTGCTCCTGCCATCCAAACAAGCATCAGACAGCATTGTGGGAGCTCATTACAGCAGCCCCTGAGCTGCAGGAAACGCTACAGCAGTGGAGGATCAGGGAGCCAGTTCAGTGAGCTCAGCCCTGCTGCACTCACAGTCTTTCAGGGAGAGAATACTGGGCAGAGTCCTGCAGGATAAACCAACAGTGACAGCCTGGGATTTGCATCCGCTTCTCCTCCCCTCCCACGAGTTCTTATTAGAGTTCCTAACAGCACAGGGGAAAGAGTTTGGATGCTGTACAAATTTCGAGGAAACATGACATAACTTATGCTGAGCTGGAGCACAGTTTCCAGCTTAATTTCGCCACCATAGGTGATTCATAAAGGCTGATTCCCTGGAGTGCTGTGCCATTTGAGAACAACTATATTGTGCTTTTCTGCTGCGGCATTCAACTGATGACAGATACTGTGACGCCGGTAATTGTTAGTGAATGGCTGGCAGCTAAACCATTGTCAAGGTCTCGTTAATCTTGTTACGTGGTTGATTGTGTAGTGTCTCATTGTGTGCTCACTGTCACTTTTTCCGGTTGGTCTTACTCCATTGGCCCTGTCTAATCCATTCTCTCCGCCTTGATTTTACCTCTTAGTTAATGAGTGTGTGTTTCCTTGTGCTTTGTCTTCCTGCAGAGCCGCAGCCCAAGGCATTCCCAGTCTACCCAGTCTGGGCTTGCCGACCAGGCCGCCAAGCTCTCCTTCGCCTCAGCTGAGTCCCTGGAGACCATGTCAGAAGCTGACATCCCCGTCGGGTTTAACAGGATGAACCGTTTCCGCCAGAGCCTGCCGCTGTCCCGCTCTGCCAGTCAGAATAAGCTACGATCTCCAGGTTAAGATTTAAAGCACTGCTCTGTCACCACGAGCTGGCCAGATTCCAGGCAGATTTACAGCTGTCTGTTTACCTCGTCAGGCTGGTGATGTGCAGCGCCGCGCTTACACAGAACGGGAGAAAGTGTTTTACTCTCATCTCAATTACCGTTACAGTTTAGTCTAATTGCTCTGCTACAGAAGACTGGAGAGTAGTGAGTGCTCACATAACATACCTTTCTGAATGGTTAATTCACTTATAATGAGTTGATCTATTTAAGTGTAGACACAAATACTCTTAATATATTCACGATGAACTAACAAGCAAGTGTGCAGGTGTACAATTAGAAAGAATGGTTTATTATAAAAAAAAACCTGACATTTTCCGAGAATGTTTTCCAGTTTAGATTGCTACTGTTGTTTTTTGACTGTAAGACTGCATGCCTGTATTAATTACAAATAAATGAGGATATGTGTTTGTGCAACGGCAGTTTTGAGAGCAGGTTTACTACAAAAGGGCCTTGGCAGTGTATTACTGTGAGGCTTGTCCAGATCAAGGAGTGGTGTTGCATCAGGTATTGCGAGAAAAAAACGGATCTGTAAAACTAAATTACAATTGACTGACGAGGGCTATATTCAATGAGGAGATCAGAATAAAGCAGAAGAGCGAAGCTGCCTCTCTCTCCTCTCCGTGTCTCATTACTAACCACTTTGTTTTCTTCTCTCCCCAACTCCTCTGAAATATACTCACCTATTCTGCTTGACTTTTAATCACTGATCTTTCTTTGCTTTGCTTGTTGTTTTTGTTTGTCCCCCGGGTGTATGCAGATGAATTTGCAGGTTAGTCAGGCGTCATCTTTAACACAAACAAATCTAAGGTTTCAGCATTTGAACAAGTATTCCATGAAGCGGGGTTATTTTGCCATTTGATTATAGGAAGTAAAAGTTTTATATGAAAGATATTAGTTGTAAAAAGTCAACTTGCCTTTACCAAATCTGCACCTTAGCTGTGAATTATAACGCAGCTACCCACACAGTCCTATTCTCACGTTCAGAAAGGGACGATTCATGCTGAAATCTGATCATAAAAATCAGCATCTTGTACATTTGAAGGCAGAACATTTTTATCATTATTGACTACAATATATCTATCAAAATGGCATAAAAAAAAGTGATTAGTTATTCTTTCCATCAACAGAAGCCATCCCCTTCTCACTCAACCGTCACTCTCTTTTAGGCGTGCTGTTCCTGCAGTACGGGGATGAGACGCGTCGGGTTCACATCACCCACGAGCTGAGCAGCCTGGACACGCTGCACGCCCTCATCGTGCACATGTTCCCTCAGAAGTTGACGGCAGGAATGCTGAAGTCGTCCAACACGGCCATCTTGATCAAGGACGAGGCACGCAACGTCTTCTACGAGCTGGAGGACGTCCGAGACATCCAGGACCGCAGCATCATCAAGATTTACCGCAAAGAGCCCATCTACGCTTCCTACCCGGCTGCACCTCACCTGGCTAACGGAGACCTGAGGGTGAGGAGACGGGAGCTGGGGAGTGGGGAGGTGAAGGGGTTAACGGTTTTATTCAAAGGAAGAATGCTATCTGATATCTTGCTAGTCTGATGTCAGTGAGAACCTCTATTATGCCGTGCCTCTACATGAAGAGCAGCAGTGTGCTTCTTTGGCTAGGCGTTTTTTGTTTTTGTATACTTTAAAGGTACCTTTGACATGCTGTTACGGTGTATAAGTTAGTAATTTAACAGGAATTCCTCCTGGAAGTGTACTTTCTTATCTTCATGTAGGCCATCTGTTGCTGTGCAGACACCAGAGAACAATGTTCCTCTGTGAAATGAGCATATTTCAACATTCCAAGTTATTTCTGCTTCACTGAATATCAAGGAAGCCTGAGGGAGACCGTTTTTTAATTATTTTATACAAAACCATGCTTACCATCTGCATAAATTCACCCAATGCTGAGAATACAACCGCTATTAACCATGCAAACAGCAGGGGAAAAAATCATTGTGCCCGTGTATATTGTGTTTGCATGTATTGTGCTGTATGTTTTAAGTATTGGTGTACGCTTACATGCTTGTTTATGCATGTGTATACAAAGAAAAGTAAAGATATGTAGTGAGAAAGCTGCGCAGCACCCATCAAATGTGAATCTACATTTATACATATAAAAACTCCTAACAAGGAGTTTGAATCCATAAATGTTAAAGGGATCATTTGTTGTAACACATTTTAATTTGGCAAAACCATTATCAAAGTAACCCAGCCTCTTTCACAGTGCATGAAAGATGATTGTTTTCTCAATTTATCGTTTGATTATTTAAATATCCCAAAACAGTACTACTGTAAATGTCCATTCAAGTTTCTCACCGCCTAAGGACTTTAAATGTTTTGTTGTGTCTTTCCAAAGCCCAAAATATATTACATTTAAAAAGATATTAATCATACAAATGCAGTCACCATATTTGAGGGGCTTTATCAGCCTTTTCTGTCATTTTTGCATGAAAATGTACTTGACAATGAATCAATTATCAAATTAGTCGGTGAATATTTTCTCACCGTCTAATGGACATGTCAACTAATTGTGCAGAATTATTTCATGGTAAGTGTGAGGTGAACGGTTCATTTATTCTTTGTAACTTGAGGCTGCATCTTAACAAGCATGTTGCCATGTATTTGCTCTTGTGCATGTCGTGCCTGGTGGTGTCTTGTGGAGCAACTAGAGGCTTTACGCTGTGCCTTAATCTATTTGTTTGTTTAGGTTGTCTCCATACAGATTGTGCAAACCAGAACACCTCATATACTGTAGCTTTGTAAATATACAGAATGTGTATATATATATATATTTGTCTAGACATAACAGCTCAACAGCACAAATTCCTTTGTCACGCTCCAGCATTTTCTGTGTATTACATGGTGCCACTTGACAAGGTTAGTTAGGATGCTGAGAGGGAAATGAGAACAAGAAAAACAGCAATGGGAAAGCAACAAATGTAGTAATGTGACAAGGGAAAACTGAATATATGTGAAGTTGGAGAAATTAGGAAAATCCCTACATTAGAAAAGCACAGGCAGAGGTGGGTTTTGAGATATTATGATGCTCTACAAAGAAAAGCAGGTCGAGAAAAATAATAGCTAAGAGGACATATATTTTCTGTTATTCTGTTCAGTTCTGTATGAATGAAGTTGTTGAGTGTCCTGCATCCTGTCACTACAACTACATGGAATACATATTAATGATTTGTTTTAGCATACTATCTGCTTGTAATAATATACTAGTAACCCTATAACCTGTGAAGACAAGAAGCAAAAAGAAATGACAACTTTGGGAATATGCATGTGCTGGACAACATTTTTATTCTGTAATTTGGCAAATTTTTAAAACATAACAAACAACGCGCAACATTTGGTCTCTTGAGAACCATCTTCTCTTGGGATGTACAGAATTTGACAGCTGATTTATTGTCTGTCAGATCTCAGTTGTTATGTCAAACTGCCTCATGGGACACATCTCATCTGTATTTCTCCATGGTAACCCGCATCCCTGCTTGTTCATTTCAGAGGGATATGGTGTACTCCTCTCGCGACTCCTCCCCAACTCGCCGCCTCAACACCCTTCCATCCTCTACGTCCTCCAGCTCTCCGTCCCGCTCACGGCTCTCTTACAGCGGTGGCCGTCCTCCATCCTTCACGGGATCCCAGCAGGAACAGCCCCGACACCCCCACCATGCCCCGGCCGGTCACGGTCCAAACGCAGGCCTGTCTCCATCGCCCAGCGCCATCCTGGAGCGCCGCGATGTCAAGCCTGATGAGGAAGTCTCGGCAAAGAATATGGCTCTGATGAAGAACGAGAGCCTGTATGCAGATCCCTACAGCCTGATGCACGAGGGCCGCCTCAGCATCGCCTCCACCCAGTCCCTCGCTGCCATCGGAGACCCCTTTAGCTTCCCTGTAACCAGTGGCCTGTACCGCCGTGGCTCTGTGCGCTCCCTAAGCACCTACTCAGCTGCTGCCGACCTGGAGGACTCCCTCTACAAGCCTGGAGGCTCACTCTACTCCGACACCTACTCCTCAGCCACACTGGGCATGGGATTTCGAATGCCGCCATCATCCCCGCAGAAAATCCCCGACATGCAGATGAGGGACAGGGACTCGTATTCCAACCCGCCCAGCAGAGCCTCACCTGTCAGGCAGAGCTTCCGCAAGGACTCTGCCTCTTCCTCTGTGTTTATAGAGAGCCCCAAGTCCAGGCCCAGCTCTGGTTCAGAGCCTCTGTGTCTGACAGCCGGGCCCGGGGAGGGCGGCAGGGCCACGCCTGGATTTGGGTCCCTGTCTGGACAGGACCTTGAAACCAGCAGGTCAGTACTGTCTGAGTGGAGAATTTAATTAAGGTGCTTTATTGTTTAAAGTAGGTTTTGAACACTTGTTTTTATAATCAGCTTCTAAGGGAAATGAATCTGTAACAATGAAATAAGAGCACTCTGGTTGTTTTGCATGAACAGTTTCTGTATTTGTGTTTTTTATGTTGGTTTAAACTGGCTTCACACAATTCTAGTGAGGGGAATCAGAAGATGATTCAATATTATTATAGTTGATTTTCTCTTAGACTTTAATTTAGAATTTCTTGGTTACAAGCAGATATTTACATGTACTTACAAAGCTGTATTGCTTACTCTACTGAACTGTGTGTTACATATTATCACAGCCAAAATAAATGTTTATAATTTAATCCTGTGTTCATCTGCCTTTGTGCTTTTGGTGATTTGGCATTTTCTGCAATATTTATTTTCAAATCCCAGATCAACACTCACTATTTAACTACTTTTAATGTATGATACATATTGCATGTTGTATACTTAATTAAGTGTTCTGATTGATATGGTAATTTTAACTGCTGAAAACGTGTCTTTGAGTACCATGAAAAGCACACTATAAATGAAATTATATTACTACCATTTTCCTTTGCAGGGATCAGCGTCTGGAGCGCATGGAGGCGATGGAGAAGCAGATAGCCAGCCTCACTGGCCTGGTCCAGAGCGTGCTGACCAGAGCACCAGACAGTGACAGCACGTAAGACTCCCATTACACCCCATTAACCCTTTAAATCTCGCAGATACAGCTTCAGGTCAGACACATAGGCAGCATTATCGACGACAACGGTGGCAGGCTGTTATCAGAGCCATTATCAGCATTAGTTTGTGTGAGCACAACACAAGCACAGAGCACTAAACATTAGCTACAGGGCACAGTGCTATTGATTTTTGCATTGATACGTAGAAAGGTGTAACATAGCTTTTAAGTTGATTTGGAGTTCCTCGTATTTAAGGAACATTGTTATCACTTCAGCCTCATGAACACTTCAGGGGCTCATTAACAAGAGGATAGCTTGTTAATGTAGTCTGATAGTGTCCAGGAGTAGTGCTGTTAGCGTTAGCACTGTAATTGCCTTGCCCTGTGGCCGTTAATCCTCAGATGCGGCCTGCTGCGTCTCTGCATGATGGCGGGCTGCCCTCCAGACCAAGGGACGGAGTTCTCACGGCCCTTACCTTTTTCTTCCAGCGAGAAGACCGAAACCAACAGCGACGGCTCCGCCACCGGACGTGAGTACCCAGCTGTTACTCACCAGCCCTTTTTGTTACTAACACAGTAATGCCTTATTTACATTTTTGGGACAATTTATTTTCCCCACTTTAAAGAGGTTAATGGACACAAACAATAATTTATGGTGACCTGAATGTGGTTTAGGACAAATTAATTCAAATTTGACAAAGCTCTCACAAGGGGATTCACAATGGAAACTAACGCTTTGTTTAGAGTTGTGGATTTGGTTATTTAAAGCGTGCTTTCATACTTGTAGTTAAATTAACTTGGTTCAAACCGAGGATTTGTTGTTATCATACTCAGTCGGATGAAAGCAAGTATCAATTTATCCAATTTTGCCCAGTATAAAGCTTTTAGCCTACTTCAAAAGCTATGTCTGTACTTGATGGAGATATATTTATTTGTATGTATCGGTGTATTTTTGTAAATATCAGACAAATATTTTTCCGCATTTAATTTTTAAGTGCTGATAGAAATCCTTTTCCAACAGGTGTAGCCCATACAGGCCGAATCATATCTGACTTAAATCATTTATTTTATTCCACGCATTTCTCCCTTTCTTTCTCACATGTCCATAACTCAGTAGCTCAGTTTTGGCATGAACAAAGCTTTTCTTTGACCAGACCTTCACATGGCCAGTACATATGAAATGAGACTTCCCCGTCCCTCTTTGTCTCTCTAGCACCCTCTCATTTATTCCAAGGTAACTGGCTCACTCTTTTTATATTCCAGCTGGACGGCTGAAGAAGAAAGGTAGTTGTCATCTCCTTCTCTATCGCCCTTTTTCTTTTCACCTATCAGACATACTCATGGCTCTCTGCTCTCTGTATGGGTGTGTGGTGTTGCTGGGTAGCTGGCGGTGTCTATCCTCACGTTTTCCTCCTGGCTGGTTTCCCTGAGAGTGGGCCCCCCTCGTCCTGTCTCTGTCTCTACTTTTGAATTTCTGCTTGGTTTTTTCCTTTGGGAATTTCAGAAGGTTGTCTTTGTCAGAGACTATGCTCTCCTTTTTAAATGTGTATAAGAGTGCATATGTGTTTTCAGGAAGCATACATGTGTGAAAGAATAGCTGGAGAGTCAATGGCCATATTCACAAAGCCCTGTGTCAAGATAAGAGCATGGTTATCCCCCTGTGTGTCACTACTGAAAAGACTAATTGCCCTTCCATATGGGCTACTAATAGCATGAGCTCACATTTCTCCCAGTGGGCTATAAAGTTTTGTGAATATGGCACTTTTTTAAAGTTCACACACTGTATATGCTCCAGTTTGTGCAAATGTTTCTATTATGTACGTTTCTTTGAGCCTGTATGCCGTTTGTGTGTTTTCATTTGTCATGCTGGCTAACTGAAATCTCACCGGAGCACAGCCCAGCAAGCTAATCAATTTGTTTCCCAACGACCTCCTGGTGACCCCCCTTGTCCTGCTCTGTGATTGGCAGCTCATACACCGTCGGCCCCTCTAGCTCTGATGCCGCCACCACCTTCTCTCTTAACCCCGGTTAACGGCACCGGCCGCTTGAAGATGAAGCTCCACCTGAACGGCCTGCAGCAAAATGCCACCGACCTGCGCAAACAGCTCAGCCAGCTACGCAAGATGCAGGTAAATATTAAATCAATCGCAGAAAATGCATGTTTTGTTTCTTCAAGGGCCTGTTCTCCCAAGTTACACAATTCTGTTACACAGTTTTTAAGATGCCCTATTATGCTTTTTTTAATGTTCCCTTTCCTGTAGTGTTTTATATAGTGAATGTAACTGGTCTGCAAAGGCTAAAAAAACATAGTTTCCTCCAGAGGGAATTTCTCTCCCAAACCCCCACCCCGCCTGAAAAGCCTCCATTGGACTCCTTTGTTCACTTCTGTGACATAGTGACATCACTATGTAACACTCTCACTTCTATTGGCTAGCGCTCGATGCACATGTTAGGCTAAGGGGCATGACATCTCTAAGCAGTTGACCAATTACAACAGAGCCATCCTGCTAGCCAATCAGAGCAGACATCTCTGGTTTCAGACTGAGGGTGAATGGAGGTGCTACTGTATGAGAGGGCAGTATGACAAAAATAAAGACCTTTTTGAACATAAAAGCATGGTTTCTGATAATTCTGATAATTTCAATTATTCTGTGATAAATTAATTCATAATGCATCTCCTTTTCCATTTCATCAGATTTTTTAAACTTGTCTTAATATGGTTCTATTAACATCAGCTGGCGTTTCTGTGCCAATGGTTGTAATGAATCATTCTCAGTGAAATTTAGCATCATTTTTGATACGTCTGAATTACGTGCAAAGAAGGATTCTTAGCATGGTCCAAAATGTCTCACTATTGACAAGCAATTTATACAGAATGTGAGCCAAGATTATGTTCCCATGCTGTGGTTTACTTGTATTCCACATATTGCACCAGCGTTGTAGAATAGGGCTCAGAATTATCTATTTATTCTACATTCAAATGTTTATGATGAGCGAGTGTATACTGTGCAGTTTTTTCTATACAGGAGACGTGGCTTTGATGTTTATTTGATCTTCACATCAATACAACACCTACAGTAAATAACACCTGCAGGTTCACATACTTGTACTGCCTGACATATTGAGGGCATTGTACCTTTTGAGGATTAATGATGACATAGAGTGAGTGGAGGATAAAAGCTTGGCTCGCATGGCATGGTATTCTACAGAGATTCAAAATGTCCCTCCAGATGCGGAATCAGATGAAATGCTACAAGTAAGGGTTAACTGGAAATGTGGAGATCCAGCCCTCATTTATTCCATTTATCTCTGATGCCAGCGATGCCATGGTTACCGCGGGAAGAGATGATTAGATAAATGCTTTCAGCAGCAGAGGAGAGGATTCAAGTCTCTCGCAGGGAGAAAGGAGAAAAAAAGAGTAATAGGAGTGACAGATGATGGGCATGCAGTGCTTTTATTTGTTCCCTGACAGCAGTCACCAGGGCTGCTTGAGAGCGTTGAGAGCCAACGGAGGCTGTGTGATACCCAGAGAGGACAGTTAACCTGTATGTGTGCCCAAGTGTGAGCTAGGCACCTGGACAAGTACTGTTTCCACCAGCGATTGTCAGCGGCCTAAATTTTACATGTGGCTCATGAATTATACAGAGAGAGTGAGAGGGAGCACAGGGCTGCAATATTTGAAAAACATCCTAAATGTTCTGTCTATATATTAAAAAAAAAAAAACATCCTTAATGCGTTAGCAGCATTATTATCTGCAGTATAGTAATGAATACGGGGTAATTTTAAATGTTCGTGATATCTTGTTTGACTTCCTGGAACATAAGGCTGATCAATTATTCATTTTTCTTTGCTTACCAGGTGTTTTCATCTCAGGGAGTTGTATTACATGCAGTAGTCCTGTAGAATATTCCATTCATAACACAGAGCTGGAGTGGGGTTCACACTCAGTGATTCTGTCATGCAAACCCTTCACTCTCCTCAGGGTGTCCTGGCTTTTTGTGACACATTACTTGCACGCGCTGATACAAAAATAACTACTTACCGCATCCAACAGTGCTTTTAAGGCTCAAGACAATCAACAAGCAATGCCTGAAAACACATAGGCAGTCAAGGAGAGAGCACAGTGTTTTTCTGGCATCAAAAGGCAGAGAAGGTTGCACAGTAAAACAAGAAGCCAAGGCCTGCCCCCTGAAGGTCGGGGGAAAGAAATATATAAGTTGCAGTAAATCAATAAAGTCTGTCTTGAAAAGCTTTCAGCAACTGCAATTCTCCTCTTTGTTGTCCTGTTGTAATGCTCCAATGGCAAACGATATCAGATTTCACATCTTCAACAAGCTATTTTCATTAAGCTATCGAGGCTAACGTTGATACGATTGCTCTTAAAACAGTTGTCAAATGTACAAAAATCCCAACTTAAGTGTTAAGTATGTTTGAATATGTGTGCAGATGGAGAACCAGGATTCAGTGCGAGTTCTGTTGAAGCGGGCCGAAGCGGAGCTGAACGTGCGCGTGGCGGACGCCCTGAGGAAGCAGGAGGACCCTCTGCAGAGACAGCGCCTCCTGGTGGAGGAGGAGAGACTCAAGTACCTCAACGAGGAGGAGCTCATCATCCAGCAGCTCCAGTCAGTAACAGGAAATGTCTTAGTATTGACCCGTCTTTTAGTATTGGTCTAAGTCCTTTGTGAAATGTCCTTGTTTTCATCATACTATCCTCTTTTAGTCGAGGTTTAGCCTTTAAATGTGAGATTGTGTCTAAACATTTGAGACAATCTAGTCTACCTTTTTTTTTATTTGAATCTAACCTTTTTCACAAAACATTTTATCTTATTATTATCGGATGAAGAAAACACATTCAATGATTTTAAAATGCAGCTTTACTACAGTTCTCTCCATTATGAGTGCAAATCCATTACGTCCAACATGCAAAAATACTCAACCACCAGACCCAACCCACATTTCTGCAAACTTTATGCATTATCCTAGCAGAATTGCCAGCATTAAGACAAGGACAGATAGATCAATAATCATGTTAATCCAAAGACTAGTTTTCTCCAGAAAAATGTATTCTTTTTTTTATTTTTGTACTAACGGATTGATTTCTGCTCAGTGCATTTTATATAATTGGATTGATATCCAGTATTAGATGAGTTTCATCACATACAGTATATTTAATAATTGCTATAAACATGACCAAGTTGATATCTGTTTTATAATTGCATGGCTCACTGGGTGAAGCAGTGATAGGGATGATATTGTAACTGTAATTAAGCCCGGCATAGAGCAAGATGCTTATTAAGATCTGAGGTATGAGAGGATCCGGCTACTAATTGAAGTGACTGCAAAACCAGAGCGGAGAGCTACCTTGAGATTTAATAATCAGATAACTTGATACTGTCTCACGTGTGGAAATGTTAATAAGTCTGGGAGCTGCAGAAGAGTTCCAGAATCTCACTCTGAGCGGCTTTTTGATTGCACACTAATTGGTTGAACTGTTAGATGATCTCACCCTGACTAATGGCCAATTTAATTTTGGTTCATTATACATTTCATTCATTACATAACTTAAGGCAGATTTATATGACATAAGTCTCAGACACACATAATATTTGAGCAGAATAAACTCATTTGAACTGATTCTCGGCTGCACTTTTTACCTCAGTTGTTTTCAAACTTTTAAATACCCGTCCACACTCCTCCAGTTCAGCTGTCCAGAATGCTTAATCTTGCTGCCAGTTGATTGAGAGACAGTTAATTGGCGGAGGTTTTTTACTGAAACTCAAATAGCATCATTCTGAGATAAAAACGTAGTCAAAATGTAAGTGTTGCAGAGTAATCCCTGGTGTTCAGCCTTCTGTCTGTTCTTTCTCAGTGACCTGGAGAAGTCAGTGGAGGAGATCCAGAAGGAGTCGTCTGTCAACCACAAGCTGGTGACAGTGCAGGAGCTGGAGGAGAAGGCCACTCATCTAAGAAAGCTGGGAGAAACACTCACAGAACTGAAAAGTGAGTCATGCTGGCACATTTCACATTCTGCGCAGAGGCACGAAGCAGAAAACTTACTCAGGCAAACAGTTTGTATGCCACTAATTACTCACCAGGCATGACTATTTTTTACTCATCCACACCCTGTCTGCTAGCCATTTGAACAGTCTCAGATTGCTCATTGTCTTAATGAACTCCCTGACCATTAGTACAAAAAAAATGTCTTTGCTTACAACGAAAGGCTTTCAATGTCTTTGACAATTAGATCGATTTGTTATTGGGGAACATGGTTGTGTTACCTCTCTTCTTCCTCCTGCAGATCAGTTCCCGGGGCTGCAGAGTAAGATGCGGGTGGTGCTCAGAGTGGAGGTGGAGGCCGTCAAATTCTTGAAAGAAGAGCCGCACAGACTCGATGCTCTGTTAAAACGCTGCAAGAGTATAACTGATACCCTCGCCACCATGCGCAAGTACGAACCTGCGCCGACTGAGAGCTAACTCATAAGCTAACTTTGAATGCTCATTTAAGGCACAATTTTCTGCCATTGACTTGATGTTTTTTTTAAGTAATCCTATATGTTACGATGGAAGGGTAATTGTGCGAAAACTTTTTTGACACCTAGTGAAATACGTCTGGCATTAGCTTACACAAAAACATAGCCATTAGCAATCACTTTCTGGAAGGCTTTTCCTTTTGAACCTCTGCCAGAGAAATTATGTTTTCACCCCTCATTGTTTGTGTGTCAGCAGAACATTATAGATTTTCATAAAAGGTAATGGGCAGACAGGACTCGGACCAAGCAAAATTGATTAGTCATTGCTGTTGAATAGGTTTCAGTTTCCATTTTACTGTTTTAAGCCAAAGCTCTTAAAACTAGCAGGCACAGAGTAAAGATTTAAGTCATAATGTGAATACAATAGCCTGCTCTGAAGAGTGCATTCAAACAGCCACTGAAGTGCCACTTTGCTTTATGGGTAATACCCTAATGAAGGCTCTTTTCAGCCACATGAAGGACTGCTTTTTAACTTTATGGTGAGTGTGGTCCTTTGGACTTTTAAAATGTGTCCTTCAGCATTCTATCAGGCTTGTGTCTAAAAAGCACAAGCAAAGTTTCCACTTTAATTAACTTTACTGATCAAAATATTTCTTTGTATCTCATCTTTGTGGGTAAGAGAGAGAGTTATCCAGAATTGGAGAAAGTTTTCGCCCTTCACAATATTTGGAGCTTTTTTCTTGAATGTTTTTGGCATTCAGCAACAATTGCTTTCTTTTCAAGTTATGAATTATTCATGGTTTAGTTTGTATTACATTTCAAAGAGTTGTTTAATTAATTCATATTCTGTTTCTTACCAGACAAGCGAATGAGGGTGTGTGGAAGAAGCAGGAGGACTTCTCTAGTCCTTCATCAAAGCACAAAGACGACATGCGAAAGTTTTCAGACTTTGACATCCACACCAGCCAACCACTTACCATCAATGACCTTGGGGGAAGCAACAGCCTGTCAAACTGGAGCCCCCACTCCAGCCTCAGCCGGGGCCACGCCAACATGTCTGGCCCTCACAAGGACAATCATCCTCCTGTTCCTCACAAAGGCAAAGCCCTGGAGGAAATGGAACGCCGTGCTTTAGCTGACAAAGCTTTGTCCGTGGAGGTCCGGCTGGTAGGAACAATTTATGCCGTTTTTCACCTATTTCTTGTCTGTTTTCACTGCTCACATAGTCTGCATTACAAATCATATACACTAGTACTGCATTACCATTATGGCTATTTGAATGTAAAGTGTTTAGATGAGTTTTTGCACTTCACAGGCAGCAGAGCGAGACTGGGAGGAGAAGCGGGCCACTCTGACCCAGTACAGCGCGCAGGACATTAACCGGTTGCTGGAGGAGACCCAGGCCGAGTTAATGAAATCTATTCCAGACCTGGACTTTGCTGCCAAGCAGATCAAGTCCAACACACCCACCTCCCAGAACCCCCAAAGCGGGGCAGGAACCCCAGAGCACCGCGTCGGCAAGCCCCAGCACAAACTCTCTGGGGGAGGATCCAGGCGTGGCTCTGGTGAGAGTTCAGTTCTTTAGTCTGAATCATTATCATGCATCATCGTCAAGTAAAAACCTGCCTCTTCAAATTGACAACTTTTCAAGAGCTGAGAAAAACAGATATTTTTCCCCAAGGGTTACCACCTTGCATTTAAAAAAAATCTAATTACTTTTGAAAGACCTGCAGGCCTTCAAATGTTCTCACGCACTTGTATACCCCTTAACTAAGTTGGAATATAAATAACATTTTTATGTCACTCAACATAGATTTAATATCGAGAAAAGCAGGTTTTTACATACAACCGTATTATAAAGGCTACAAATGCCTCATAGGTCGATCCAAAAGTAACTGTTATGCCGCTGTCACTGTATGAGTACTTTCTCAAGATTACCAAATGATTTCCTTCTCTAGATGAGCTGACTGTTCCACGATATCGCACAGAGAAACCCTCAAAGTCCCCCCCTCCTCCACCACCCAGACGTAGTTTCCCGTCTTCTCCGAGCATAACCAGCCGCAGCGGAGAGCAACTTATTCCTGGGAAAAGTATAAAGGTAAGACAAAGATGCAAGAATATACTTATAATTGTTATGTGCACCACACAAAGTAAGGATTTTGCAATTCAAACTATTAATTGTAAAAGTTAGTAAGTAAGTAAGTTTCCTCAAGGGTTAATATCAACAGATAATTGTACTGGTATAGCAAGAAGGTTGAAGGCTTTAATATATTGTGTTAACTTCAAAACATTGAGTACTGGTCCATACAAAATATTGAAACTCCAAGCTGGGAGACTGGATCAGATGGGTGAAACATGTTTTTTATATTTGTAATTGTAGAAGTCTGAATCTGAAGAGACTGAAGGCCAGAAGCCTCATGTAAAACTGAGGAGGGCGGTGTCCGAAAACCCTCGTCCTGCATCCACCCCCCCAACACTCACCTCTGGGGACAAGGAGGATGGAGAGGAGGAGAAAACTGCTGCCGAATTGGAGGTAAACCAAACCATTATGTTGATTACATCCTCAATAGGCTGTTGTTCAATGACTTGGAAAACTGCAGTTTTTATTATTGATGTTAGGTCCACAATCTGCTACCTGCTTTTGTGCGCACACATACTCACCAGCAGACATGCTCACCATCATTACCACATGTTCAAGCAGCAGGTGCCATATGTCCCCTCTGCCCCTGGCACTGGGAGCGCCCAAAGATCACATACTGCTCAGTCACACACACCATCACCCAGGGCTCACAGATCACAGCCAGACAGATGGACCCTGATTGCTGCTTGGGCTGTGTTTGAGATGGCCTGTTGGAATTTTGTTGGAGCAGAGGGTCCACAGAAGCAGATTTTTCAAATTCAGTGCTTGTTTGGTTTTTATTGTACAATTTATGACAGCTTTTGAACCTCTCTTTTCCCTCCCCAGCTGTTTGAGAGAGTCCCAGTCAGGCTCTCTCTTCCCCTTCCCCATTCCCTTCCTGTTAGTCCTCTCAGCAGGAAAAGTGTCCCCCCCTGCAGACCGGACCTGTGGCCCTCTGAGGCCCCAGGCACTGAGGTAACACTGGTTGGCCCTGAGTGCTGTGGATTGCTGCCCTTTTTGTCTTCTTCACCTCTCCACCTTAACACAGTAACCACCACCACTGCTCAGCATCCAGCCACATGTATTCCTCCTACTGTATCTCTTCAATCTGAAAAGTCTCCCTTCAGCAGTTAAATTGCTCACAAATTGATAATGTCTACCGTTTGCATGCTGCATTTCCAGCCTAAAAAATGTCTTATTTACATACAAGCTTGTCTGGAATCAATTCAATGATTGAATACCCACTCTAATAATTTTTTTCTTTTTGAAAGTTGAGCAACTTGAAAATGGTTTTGGCCACTGATATACTGTACAGCTGACATACAAACTGCACTTGACCTCTGTCCTAGTTGTTTTTTGCAGACAGTTGCTCAATTACACTCAGCAGCATTGACGAGTTATGTTTCTCTGATGAATGTAAGATCAATATTCAATATGGTTTCATCATCTTGAGAAGTGTTCTAGTCCTCAGTGTTCACTTACTCAACCTCCTTCAGCTTACAGTCGATTGTTAACGGGCAGGTAGCCTACAGAAGTTTATTTGCTGGACACATCGCTTCCTGTGTTGATTGTCATTTTGAGACTCAACCATAACGCAATTGTGCTGCAAAGCCAAAATAATTACCTAAAAGATTTTTCTTTACGTTGTCATCGCTAGATTACTCTCTTTTTTTTTGTAACAATGCATCTTGACTCATCGTAATTTGGACACACACTTGTATACACATTGAGTTCCTTTGTATAATATGAATGCGCCCTTCACAATCACATGACATTCTGTGTGTGTGTGTGTGTTTTTTCTGCAGTGGGTTCACAGTTGATGTTGTGGTTTTTGGTGTGTGTGTGTGTGTGTGTGTGTGTGTGAGAGGCAGTCAGGATGTTTGAGAAGCGAGCTGAATTGACGTGATCACACAGGCATCACATCAGAATCAGAATCGGTTTGTCGTATGCACCAGAAAGGAGCATACACATGTTAACACACTGATACTTACGTGTAGAGTTAGTTATCTCGACATTAATTACAAACAAGCTGCTTAAATCGCTCACTTTTCTTTCTTTATATTGTCTGTCTGGGTATGCAGTGATCTCAAGCAGCAAGTTGTTGAATTGTGCTTAAGCTAAAACCAGTATTTAAATATAACCCCTCAAGTGCTTTCCTCATTTATAGGGAAGGTGCTTGTATCCTGTCCCCCACATCATGTTGACAGAGTGTTTCCTGCCTTCACACACTGCCTCAGAGGATCCTGTCAGAGATTCAGCCAATGACCCCCTAGAGGAAAGTCCATCACGAGACTGGACTGGTCACAACACAGTCTACCAGACTACATTTTCAAAGGAAAGGGATTCATTTGGAAGCCCTCCTCAGCGAGAGCAGCTATGTTTTAAGGAGGACTTAAGACAGGAAGTGGCCCTGTTGTTGACAGAGCTGGAGGTGAGGGTGGTGTCTCCTGTTGAGGCCGAGGAGCTCAGCAGGATACTCGGAGAATCTTTGCAGACCCTCATGATCTCAACACAGACCAGTGAAGTTCCTGAGGTCCAGCTGAGGGCTCGGCCTCTCCTAGTGCTTCTCCGAGAGGTGGAAACAGTAAAGGATGCCTACTTGCTGCTGCATAACCTTTTGGAGTCGTCCAAGCCGGTGCCAAAACCCAGAATTAAAGCCTCCCCCAGCTCGGGCCAGCAGTGCTGTCTGGTAGAGGCTCTGAGGAAGGGGATAGAGACGGGGGATAGAGTACTGAGACTTCAGCGCAACACTGAACTTAACATTCCTGAGGTAAAACTGAAATCTGTAAACATCACTCTTCAGTCAAGTGGATCGGCTAGCTCTGTGGATAGTGTATCGAACCAGAACCAGAGGAAAGCAGGAGAAGATGTCCGCTTCAGCACATACAGGAGGCTGGACAGCTTGGAGGAGACTATTCGTGAGCTGGAGAACACCTTGATAGAGATCAGCGGCCATCCAATGGAAGAGCAGCTCTACACAGAGACGACCTCACAGACCAAGAAGCCCCCGGTCCCCCCCAAGCCGCCCTCTTTCAGCCCAGCATCGATCCAGGTTCATTGCTCACAGATTCCCGCTCTGAAGCAGCATGCTCTATTTTCTTTCCTCACTGCTTCCCTCTGGGTGACTGCTGGAACTTCACTTTCAAGCTTCTGATGTCTGCTCCCTGACTTAATCCGAGTTTAATTGTATTGAAATCGAAAATATGTAATGTGGGGACTAGACAACAGACTTCCTCTCTACTTGTCTGTTCTGTGATTAGCGCTGGTGCTGCTATGCTGCTGAGCCCAGCGTTGTTAATTGTTTCTTCATCGACCTGTTCTCGCATCTGTTTTCCGTTTGTAAATCTAGCCAATTTCACCTTTTGTTACCACAAACAGGCAATAAAAGCAAATGCATAGATAATATAAACCTTACATTTCCTCTTCTTTTTCTCCTCTTTACGTACAGCTCTATTTTCTTGTATTTGTTCTGTTTGATCCGAAACCAGAATCACAGTTGTGAGACCTTACCTAACCAAGCTCGATGGCAAACAGCATGAAAACAGATGGAAATCTGTGATCTCTGTCCGGATCAAACTGAACTGTGGTCTTGTTTGTTTCTGTGTGAAAGCATTTTTTGATGGTTTAGACTTTTGGACAACTGACAAAACGTTATAGCACGTTATTGTTATGTTATAAGTTTAGTGGAGTCCCTTTTGGGGAACGGCTCAGTCCTCATTGAGTGTGTGGTAGAGAGAGAAATCTACAGTATCTCTTAAAAGAATTCACCGGAATTCACTTCCAATACACTTCTTGGTAATAAGTAATGACCACATGTTGAACTCCATTACCAGAGATTTCAGATAGCTTTCTTTCAACTCACCTCCAGTTGACCGTAACACAACAAAAGATTAGTGATTACCAGAAGACTCATTGCGTTCCTGCGTCAGCTGCGCTTCACTGAGGTGTCTTGACAGCTTGCGTAGCGTTCCCTGTACTGAATGTAGCCCCCCCCCCCACACTCAGGGCAGGGCTGCCATAATTGACAGTTGCAATGTCGTGGCGAGTTTCAGCCCTCTGATGTAGAGCCGGGGAGCATTCCCATAGGCAGGGCTGAGGATTACAGCGTCTCCGCACATTATTTCATCACTTTTACTTCAACCACGTTCAGTATTTCAACATGACCCTTCTTCCTGCTCTTGTCCAACGTGTTTGCTAGTGTACTCACCGAATTCAGACTGACAAGTGATCTCAAGTCAAACCCCAGTTTTTTTAATTAGCTTGTTAAATAAAGCATGACATACTGTATACTGCACAGCTTATGTCTGCAAATTCAGCTTTATACAAGGCTCAGGGAAGACAGGCAGGTTTCCTTGAATTACAATAGCAGAGAAAGACGGGCTATTTGACGACACTTCAGTTCATCTTTTATTAGTTTTCAGTTCAGCTAATATCTGTGTGCAGAGGAGGCACAGTGGGGTGGGAATTTGACTGCATGTGTCTTTTTTTGGAGCGTATTAGAGAAAGCCTACAGAGTAACCCAGCAGGAAAGATCATTAAGCACACGCTTCGTGGGTTCTGCTGTGAGGCTATACGCAACGTCGGTTTTGATTCCACGTTTTATGTTCTCCTCTTTGTCATTTTCCGATAGATGGTGAAACTCTGTGAAGTGGATTGTTCAGTTGCATCAGATACAAGCTCTGATCTTAAAACCTCATTGGTCTCGGGGGTGGGGGGACAGAATTGCTTGATTGATTCACACTCTGTGCTAAGTTGATGTGTGTGTGATTTGTGTCGTAAACTAAAGGCCCCCTGAAGTGGAGAATGAAAGGTAAGACTGCTCTTGTGTGTCTGAGGTCGGATTCACACATCACTCTTCTCCTTTCAGGCAGGGAATAAGTCCGCTGCCTCCAAACTGAAGCACCTGCAGCAGAACAGTACAGACAAGACTAAAAGTGGCAGAAGAGAGGACTTTGTGAAGACCCAGGGCCAGCAGCAGGTATTATATCTTTACACTTGACTCTCTTTGAAGGCTAATGCAGGCTTGGTCTGGCAGGGTCTGTACAGTATTTACCACACTCTTCAATGGGATTTGCAGCCAACCAATACATGTTATTCAGGAGATGTAAAAAAAAGCTTGTCCAGAAGAGGGGTAGACAGTCATTAAAATGAAGATGGTGATCATTATAACAAATTGCCTTTTATTACATTGTCCTTTATTTGAAACTGGAGTAAAGAGAGGCAATGATCTGTGGCTGCTATAAATCAATTTATGTTTTTTTATCACATAAACAGGCACATTTGATGACCTTGTTTTTGATATAGAAAAATGATTTATTATAAAGGGGGATTGCTGCCTCACACTATCTCTGCAAGCTGATAAAGAATAGCTCTGCACCCCTTTGGTATTTTACACACCAGATCAAGCAGAGATTAGCCTTTAGCATCGTTCTTCACCTCCACCCGGTACCCACAGAACTCCTGCATGTTCCCACCATGCTCCACTCCTCACCTTATACCTCATCTTTAAGACGTCTGTTTATGTATTTATTTTAATGACAGTGGCTATGATTCATGCGTTTAAACCAGCTTAGTTAATGATGGTAAATCGTTGATGGCAAAGTCTCATTGATGTGACCGTCTCATTATTTAGTTTGTGAAAATAGATGAAAGTATTCTCTGCCGGTATTTTTGCTCACAGGCGAGGAAAAGTGTTTCAATTCAATCCAAACCGGATTTGTATACCTAACATCTCTAATTATAGTATTTAAACCAATTAAAAAGTTATAAAATACTTTACTTTGTTTTTGCCATAATCAACACGTTTAGGTCTGGATCAATATACCAGCTTGGTCACACAGAGTTACAAAAATATAAAGATTTGCAGGACGTAAAATGAATTTCAGAAACTCCTTGCGTAAGCCTCTTTCTATACATACTGTATGTTGTTATCTCCCCCTGATAGCAGGCTTAACTAACTTTAATTCGCCGGCACTTCAGTGTTCAGTGTTCAGTCAAATATGGCAAAGGACTGGACATTAGGATGCTTGATGGCCTCTGGAGGCGAGGAAATTGAACTGTTGAAGCATGTAAGTCCAGTAAAGCCAGGAGAAGCTTTCTGCACCACCCCTGTGCACAGAAGAAGAAAAAAAAGCTTAATGTCAATGTAATTTGAAAAATAACAAGAGCAGTGGAGTGAACCTAAACCTCCATACTCCACTGAAGTTGACAGAGCATTCAGAAACAAATTCATGCTTGAAGATTGCAAAGAAATGAATGTGTGGGAGATGGGGACATAAAGAAGCTTTGCTCGCGTCAGACTAAGAGGAGATTGGGAAGAATCTCTGCGGTGCCATGTAATAATCGCCTCTTTAGTCGCTGGCAATCAGCGATTATTCAGTATGAAGAGGACAGCTCTCTTTCCCCCCCACCATTACGTCTTTCACGTTTCTTCTTTATGTCTCTTTCCTTCTTCCATTTTCTACTCTGCAATTGACGCACGCTGCCCGTCTATCCTATTCACTCTTCCCTCCGCCAGTCTTTTCAATCCCTGTGATTTAAAAGTAGAGTGGATTGCCACACTTGTATAATAAAAGCTAAATTAGTCCTATTATTTCATTATGACACAGGGCACTCTCTCTTTGTCCACAAACAGCCATTGTACAAAGAAGCTGTATGTGTGAGAGCACTATCCTCAAAGGGACAGTGGGCTCTCAAAGCTAATTGTCAGCGTGGGAAGTTGTTGCCAAGCTGTTTAGGGTGGCAACATCCCACAACTGCATGACGAATAACTAAAAGAAACAAAGAACCAGCTGACTTAAAACAAGAGAATGAACAGTCAGCTGTGGCGGCTTTCACAATAGCTGCATTTTGCGGAATTTGAAGTATGAGCAGCGTGTAGTTAAGAGGTTAAGTAGTCCTTTAGAGCAGCAGTAGGTAAAGGTTGTTATACAAAAATAAGCCGAGGCCATTCTCTAGGAAATCAGAGGACTCTCAACAACTAATTCCTAGTTACTCTCATTACTAGTATCCTCTACTACAGATACTCTAAAGTGTTTATTATTAAGCAAATTAAGGATTTTGAGATCAATAATCACATTTTCCCATATGCTTAAAAAAAACGTCAAGGTAACAACATCTTAATTGGCCTACAAAAGATAATTGTTTACCTCTAGTTGAATAAATCGGCCACACTTTTTGATTCATTTGTGAGGCCCAAATGAAATAATGACATGATTTTGGCAGTGCAAAATACCAGTTCATCCAGTCAAGTTGCCACCTGCTTTAGGCACCTGGATAAAGACTATATCAAGATGACTTTAGCTTGAGTAACAAAGACATGTTGTTGGATTCTTTAGCAGGAATACGCTGTATTTAAGGATGCCAAAGGTTTCATAGAATGCAGGTATGTTGTGCTGGCTTTCTGTATAAGACCCTCTCTGGCCTCTCAGTCAATCACATGTGCCCTTTCCTCTTTGGATAGTAAGCTAAAAAACGTTCACCAATGTTAGCCAGTTAGCTCCTGTCAGCAAGAGCAGCAACAGCCACGATTGCACCACTGTTACAAAAAATATGAAAGAACGACTGTATGAAAAGTGAGTTTGTCAAATAATTAACATAATAAAATATATATACGGACTTTTGAAAAAATACAATTCTAATATTATGAAAAATAAGGATAAAATAGCATCAATAAGTAAAGTTTTAATTATGTCTTGAATTATTAAAAAACTTCTTGGCTTATTTCAATATTTGACATATATTTTCATACATTTTAATGTAATTTATAATTAAACACGTTTGGGTTTCATACATTTCAAGCTGAACTCTTTTAACCATGCAGGGACGCGTGCTGTAATACGAGCTCGGGTTGAAAATGCCAACACAAATATTGTAGCAACCTTTTTAAAACCTTAATGAGGCTCCATGCTGAAAATGTGTTATTGGTTTCAACAAGCTGTTGCTTTTACATCGGCTCCGTCTCAGTCGGGTTCTTGATGTCTTTAATGTTAAACCAAGAAAAACAGCACAGATTCTGACAATGAAGCTTACAGATGGATGGAGCAAAACGTGTCTTCTAAAGCATTTAGGTTTAGCATAATGAAACCGCTGACTTTGCTGTAAAAACGCACTAATTATCTGCAGCTCATCTGAGGAAATGATCAAGTCGGCTGACTCATTTGCATACAGTCTTGAAGAGCTAATTAAAAACTGTATATTTACTTCACCTGAATCCTTATTCTCTGCTCACTGACTTTATGAAAATCCTACTCCTACTTCTTTTTCAGAACTTAAAAGCAAGCAGGTTTTTAAAGATTATATTTGTACCGGCTGCGTCAGAACAGTCACAGTTTTCGGCACGTGTCTTTTTCGGATCCACATTTTCAGAATCAGAATACCTTTATTCGTCCCACAAAGGGGACATTTGCCAAGAAGCATGCATTCAAAAATATATTAACGATGTAAAAATTAAATTACACAATTTACAGCAGCCAGGTATATATTGCACAGCCCTCTAATATAACTGTAACCTAGCCATGATTCATATTAGAGGTAACCCTCCATAGGGCCCCCTCCCTCTTATTTCTCCCTCAAACTGACACCTGCTGATCACCTGACTGATAATGTTGTTCTAATCAGACGTGCCCACCGTGGGTGAACTCTCTACTCTGGCAACATATGAAGGTAAAGATGTCTCTTCTCTTAAACCTTCCCCGGACACAACTCCCTAGATGTGACCCCCCGACTAGTAACCCAGTTCCCATTGGTGTTTTCTCTTTTGTTTCCTCTGGCCGAATGATAACTGACATTTCTAGGGCATTTTAAACAGGGCACAAACAAGCAAGCAATGAGCACACCACTTCAGAGTCTCCAGCCAATACGTGAATAGATCTAAATATATAAATATCTTTAGCATCGGTGGCATTATCTACACAATGATGATGACATTTCCCACTAGTTCATATGAAGGGCAGCTGGTACACATTAACATATCATAAGAGCCAGCTGGACGGACAGTAAAACATTTGAAGACATCGCTGTATACCATCTGCACTCAGCTAAAACAAGATGCACTGGCAACGCTTTTTATTTTTTTAATGTGTGTACTGGGTATAGCACTGCCAATTTCGAGTTACCCACTTATTTTACCATCAACATAAAATATGATGGTGGACACATGTTGAGCCATAGACAGATAATGGTCATTTTGAATATTTGGGATCAGCAGCTTTAGTTCCAGGATAGCCATTCAGATGTTAGGGTCATACCTTTGTCAAGCCCCTGCAAATAATGTAGTCCAAATGGATCATTGGAGCAAATGTAGTCCTAATACTCAGGTTATTAAGCTAGTTTAGGCTCCGATGCGTATATTAACAGAGCTAATGGTGCTCTGTGCTCAGGCTGCCTGCTCACTAAAGCTTTACTCCAAAGTATTAAAGCATCCCAGACTTGAGGATCCTTTGAATCCGTGTCCTGGATATGAGTTCAAAGCCACACATTCTCCCTGTTTGCTATGGCACAGATCAAGGAGGGCACGGTGTGAAACCTTATTTCCATTTCCCATTTCAGCTGTGTATTACTTCTGGTGGTAAAACAGGTTAGTTAAAGGTTCTGTGGGGTTATCAAGACTTGTCCTGGGAGGCTGGTAGGCATCTCTGTCATGCGTGAGATGAAGGGAGGATACTCTGCAGCACTCACACACCGGGACAAATGTGTTGACCAGGCTTGAGAGGAGTTTCTCATGCAGAAGGAACAGCCCCTTCCTCAGGGGACGGTTGGCAGCCCGTGCTCTGCAGGTGAAAGCCTCCTAGCAGACGAGCCCACCTGCTCTGCTTTCATACAGCGCTAATCCCCGTAATCCAACAACAAACATATTCAAAATGGCTTTATTGCCAATGCAAAAACATATAAATAAAGAAGTGTAGATAAAATGTCCCTTTAGTGTAAAATGATTTACAATAAAATGCAGATATGGTTCTTGCCCGCTCGTATCTCAACCCTGTCATCAATGTTGTGTATTTTCCTTCCTCTACCCCCCCCCCCCCCCCCCCCCCAAAGATAGAAATTACAAACCTTTTCTTTACCATAAATACATGTTATGACAAGCGTGTGAGATTCATACTGTTGGAACAGTGCCATCTACTGACTCCTTCTAGCATCACACAGAGGAACTGAACATGTACTGCTGCCTGTTCATCAGGATATTTTGCATTTTTAATGAGTTCAAATCATTAAAACGTGTCAAAATAAAGAAGGTCAACACCTTACACACGTTGTCACTTAGTGTTGCACCCTAAGACAAAAGTGTGTTTATCAACGGTTTGGTCACCATGTGTGCAGGTCTCGTGGCTTGCACCACACATGCTGACTTCAACCTGTATAACAATATTCTGTGTTTGTCTTTTGTTCTGTTCTCACCTTTCCCTCACCCACCCCTTACCCCTCCACTACACGTCTCTTCTGCGGCCAACCTCACCCCTCCCGCCACCCTGTGTGAACCCACGCCGCCCTGCACCCCCCGACCTGTCCCTGTGACCCTGCAGCAGTGAGCCACCTGCCTTGTTCCTCCCGTTTGCCTGACAGAGATCGACACACATCTATCCACCTGTTATACTTTATCAGCTTCGTTCATATCTCCAGTGTTTACTCCAAAGTCTGTGTGTGCTAGCATGCACGCCCGGGCATGTTGGACTGTGACGGGTAAGGGAAGGAGCTGCAGGGGGACGGTTGCCAACCAATTTTGAGACTTTAATTTTTCATGATTTTCCCTTTGATCCATGAAAAACCTCCCCCCCCATTCCCCTGCCCCCCCCTCCTGTGTCCCCGCTCTCACCTGAAGGCCGTGGGGACCAACAGCACCAGTGGCAGTATTGAGCCGTACCTCTCTGGTATCAAAACGGGAGTTCTGCCAGGCCGAGCGCCCTCTCCTGCAGCAGTGTTCACCCCTGGCCTGAGGAAGCCCCCCCAGGAGCGGCTGCCCTCCCTGAAAGGCTCCACCAGCCAAGCCAGGGCTCTTCTGGCCAGCCTGTCTGCCTCCGGCCTGAGCGCCGAGGCCCTGCTCCTCTCCTCCACCCTCCGCCATCGCCGCCTCCTACGTGAGCAGCGAGCCTCCTCCTTGCCCCTGCCCAGCAGCAAGTCCTCCCCTTCTACTCCCATCGCTACATCCCCCTCCTCTTCTGCTTCACCCACCACCCCGACACCCTCCCTGTCTCCCTCCTCTCCCAACCCTTCCCTTACCCTTTCTTCTGCCGTTCCCCAGCCCAGCGGTTGTAGCTCCAGCGTCAACAGCTGCAAGGAGGCGGGCAGTGGGCAAGTGAAGCAGGACCTCGCCCCGGGGTCCTGAAGAGAAGGAGGATGGGTGGAAGCACCATCATATTATGAACCGTAAAGAGAACACATCTGCATTATGGGAAATTGCAGCATTTTTTGAGTGTCATATTTCAGGACTTTTTAGCTTTTCCTCTCTGTTTTTGTTGGCCTCACTCCAGTATGCACTCTTCATATCTCCATGGCAAGACCTACCATACCGCACATGGAGTCACTATCTTCTTTTTGGACATGTCTCCTACTCTGATCTGGTTCCATAGTTCCTCTGCAGTTCTCCCACACTCATGCTGCCAGTTTGCCAGAAAGAGAGCACACAAACGGGCCTGCTGTAAGCTGATGTGGTCTGGATGGATTTACTGACAGTAGCAGTCTCATAAAACCCCTCACTCAACGGGGTTGTTAGTGGAGTAGACATCATTTATAGACCTTTATCATAGAAAATAGAGCTGCAATAATCACCAAGTGAGTCCAGTAGTCGTGTTTGTTCAGGTTCATATTGTGTCACCTGGCAGAATGTGCATAGTAGATCAAGGTGATGATTGTGGTTGTGTGTTAAAAGGGCACTCGTGGCTTTTCATGCATCACCTGTGTTTTCAACTGAAACTGGTGCTATATTTTCCCCTCTGTTTGTACACACTGTGTAAAGAGTTTACATGATTGTTCTCACTTTTTTTTGCAAGTGTACATTCCACTGTCTGACTATGATTTCATGTCACACTGTTTCAATATTGATATGAACCCTTACAGGAGGAAATCCTTGCATCGGAGAATTAGGAACAACGATAGGACATTTTCAACTTAAAAATGTCAAAAGCACATTGAAAGAAGCGGTCTTATGACGGCACATCTTTACTGAAAATAGAATAGAGGCACAGTTACACAAAAAGGATGGAAGAACGCAGACAGTGAATTGTAAAGAGATTGAATTTCTGTATATCTGTATTGACAAGTTAATAATGACAATCAGGATGTTCCGCAGTCACGTCCTACAGGTTGCTAAGGCATTTCAGCACCTGACTCCACAAACCTTCCCAAAGACTCAAGCACACACTGATGAATAACTCTGTCACTCCTTCTGCACTTGTAAAGCAAACCTGTGTGCAGAAACCTTTGTTGTTTTAGATTTTGATAAGGGATGAATCATTTTTTCTCAAGTCACATCTGTTGCACCGCTTGAAAAGAGCCACATCGACAAGAACACAATTTCACCCTTTAAGGAATCTAAAGAGCAGACATATAAAGTGCTTTATTTTAGGACACTTATCGTCTTTGAACTTCAAAGTTACTCTGATGGGAAGCAGCTTACAACGATGCATAATACCTTCTTTGAACAGGAACAAAATGTTTCTTGCACTGCAGTGAATTGATCGCACTTCAACACTTGACACAGTTTCAAGCAGTGTTTGAAAGCTAAAGAAAGGAAATCAGCACATATGTAGACACTTCACACAGCTGACATTTAAATATATAGGAATATAAAGAAAGCACATTTTCTTCTGAAACACTCGACACCTTTTTCTCAAATTTTGATCTTGTGAATTTGCTTAAAAAATGATGAGCACAAAGCTACAAATGTTCCTTAAAGGAAAGAAAAACCCTGTTTCTTTTAAATTACTGTACGTTAGATTAACAATATTGTTGCTCCTTCATTTGGTTCTATTACCTGCATGTTAAAACATTTATGAATGTTAGGTCTTTAGTGTGCATCAATGACAGTTATCTCTATTTATAGCACATGAAAGGCCCTTCAGTGATTCGCTGCACATTCTGAAGCCCCTGTCCTGCGTTATTGCCTTAAGGCTGCCCACTGGGGATGTGATGAGGTTGAACGGACAGTCATGGACAAAGTGGTGTTCTTTTTTTGTTTCCAGTGGTTCACGAGAAAGACTGTGTGAAATCGATTCTTTGTGGCATGAGATTAAAATGTCCGAAAGTGGATTGTGTCACATGGTATGCAGCTTGAGAAGAGGGGATTAGTTTGGGGACTTGTGTTTGAAGGCTTCTTTAATAAGACGGCTTCTTGTCTCCATGGAGAGTGTTTGTGATATGAGCCAAAGAGAGGAGAGGAGGGGTCTGACGGCAGCTGTTCTTCCCCTGCCCCTCTCACTTAGCTTTGTCTGTGATGTGGGGCGTCTGTGAAAGAAATGACACTTTTTGAGGTTATTTTAGGACAAAGTCTGATGGGCCTCAGTAATGACAGTAACAGTGTGTGAGATATGTAATTAGCACTCTTCCAGTGCTCTTTCCTGAAACTCCTGCCTGTTTGTCTGTAAGGACCTGATACATTTTTCCCAGTGCCTCTAAGACTTTCCACAAATCCCCTGTTGGTCTTGTATAACAGTATTAGATCAGCAGCAAAGACAGAAGGACACTTTTACCCAAAGAAGAGGCTGCGAGAATTGTCTTGCTTCCATCTTTTGCAGAAAAACTTGAAAAGCAGAGTGTGTCAGGTTGCAGTGTTGACTAAACACTCCCTGAGCTCTAACAATGTGCACAGCTACAGCGTATTTAGCCTCACTGGTCGCTCTGTAGCTCCATAAGGCAGGTTCAAGCACCGGGGAGTGAAGTCAAATGAAAGTAATTCACTTACTCGTGCTGTTCCACACCCAAATCCATAACTCTCCCATCAGTTCAATCTGCTGCATTTGCGTCTGGTGAGCGTTGGGGAGGGAGTGTTCACGCTCGGCTGCTTTCCTCAAGTTAAGTTTGAGATGAAACCTCCCAGAATTGCGTGACAGTGCTCTCTGAAAGGTTTTTTTGTTTTTTTTTGTATAAGTGTTAGTGGGCTGTGATTTCAGCTTGGAGGGCACGTCGCAGAAACTCATGCAAACTTGAAATCAAACATAGAAGAAGTATACATATATAAATATATCTAAGTGAGATGTTTGTGTATGATATTATAATTGTGAAGAAAAGTGTGATATATATATAGGCCTAGATTAAATTATATACTGTAAAATGTCATCACCTCTTCAGTTTTATATATTAGTGACCATTTTGTACAGATTTTTCCTTTTTTAATTCATTGAGAGAGATATTACATTTCACACTGAGATTATTTATTCATACGCAGAACATTTTTATATTTCTTTAACGATATCTGTATAGATAACACTTAGCCTCTGTAATATACGCTGAAGTTCATTTTTTGATTATAGGGTTTTTATTTACGGACACTGAGTTGGATTTTATGTCATTTAGATTTTTGAAAAGCTTGTCCCTGAAAATGCTTGTCCAGCTCTTCTGCACCTTTGCCTCCTTATGTGAAGGGTCACTATTGAGGTGTGAGAGGCTGGACCAGTGCCTGTGCTTAGGGGCTTATTTTGCTACTATTTGCGTGTTTAAGGGGGTCGTTTTCTGTACCTGTGGTCTGTTTTCTTTTGGTTTCTCCCCATCCTGTATTTGTGATTCAGCTGGTATTAGTTGGAGTTGGTCAGAAGTTGTGGTAACTACTGTGAAAGGTCAGTTTATGGGCCAAGACGTTTGAGATGTGAGTCACATGGCTTTAATTTTTAGCTGTGTCATGTTTGCATGTGAACAGGAGTGGTAGCAATGTGGATGCTCAGTGCAAAAGCTTTTTAGAGACAACAACAGGTGGAATAAACAGTTGGAAGTACATTTAGTTGCTTATTAAGTCCAAGTTGTTGCACTGAGGGGCTTTAAGTAGCATTTAAGCTAAACCACAGGAGTTGTTAAAACCACCCAAGATGGATCAATAAGGGCACTTTGTGATTTAAAAGTGGAATCTCTTCCTTTGCCATTGTATCTTGTTTTTATAACAAACCTACATTATATAGTATGTATATGAGATTTTTACATGAATGTGTGGATGTTCAAAAATGTTGGCATCGAAAGTAGAAAAACAAAATTGACCTGTAAATAGGCTGAGTCATTCCTAGCGAGTTCCACAAATTGTTATGTCCAAAAGAAGATGTTTTATTAATAAACTATGACAATGGGTACAAAGATATATACAAAACAATGCATGTATAGTCTCAAAGCAATCGCACGGTGCAGTTGAAAAAAAATGTTGTCTACATGTTTTCTCAAAAAATATGAGAACGAGAAAGGGTTTCTATGTTAGGAGGTTTACACACATGAAGAATGAGACGTTATTTTGGTATGTGTGTCACAGGCATGTTCAGTCTTACTGTGATGTTATGTGATGATGAAGATAGTGGTGGATGTCGAGAAGGAACGCACCCCAACCAGAAAAGTCACCCGTGATGGTGTCCTCCCATTTGTAGAGTAGTGTGATATAAGAACAAAAATAATACAGAATATAGATCTATGATATAATGATATATAAATTTAAAAGCCTACTGATACTGGAGATACTAATTTATCAGTGTGGATGCCATGATATTCTGTGAGACATGTGTGTGTTTTTCCTGTGAGAAGACAGTAGGCAGTTGAACCTGCCTTCTTTTGTACATACTTTGCTGTGATTGTGTGTCCAATAAAGTGCAGCTCTCTTGTACAGTGGCGGCGTCTGATCTTGCTTAATATTGTGTTTGATGTTGTGTTGTCAGGAAATGCATGCATCCTTAGCGACAGAAAATGTGTTAAAATGTTGCATCAGGTCAGAGCGCTCATACAAATACAGTAGGTCTATTTGAAAAAACATCATGATTTTATTATTATTACTCAATAGGTAACAACACTGAACATTCAAAAGCCAATTGGTACCACAGAAATAGCAAAAGTGTGAGATTTATAATCAAATGAAATGTTGCTTTTAAAATATGAAATAGTTAAATATTCAAATTCTATTTACAGAGCAGTTTCACTCTAAAATCTTGGCTAAAAAAACACGCTGCCACATGGCTTGTTATACATTTTAAAATACTGTATATACAGAACATTTTGAAGCATGTTCTTCTCGAGTTACATTTGTAAAAATTCATGCACCAGAAGTGGATTAAGGGTCCTGGCGCTGGGCTGGCCGTCGACCATCTGTCCGCCTGTATGGTGTGTTCCTCAAATCTGAGGCAGAGCAGGAGAGTTTCAAATAACAGCACATGAACTTCAAACACGCTTCAAATATCACCGTGTGACTCCACCAGGAAGCATCGTGTTACCGTACCTGTGATGATGTCCTCCAGGGCGCCGTCCTTCCCCTCGCGTACCTGAGGTTTCTGCCGCTTCTTCAGCTCCGCTATCAGGTCCATCTGGGGCACTTTAGGCGTCTGAGGTCCCTAGCAATTTAAATCAAAGGTAACTTATATATTTCCCATTCCTCTAAGAGTTTGGTTGTCATGGGTTATAGTCAGAGATCTGTTTTCGATGATTGTTTATGTTGCTTAAAGTATTAATTACATGGAAAGTTTCATAAAAAATGTGGCGTATAGTATGTCAAAAGTCATTAAACACAATGTTAATAAATCTCTGATATAACATTTAAAGGTGTGGTAGGTAAGTTTGAGAAACCGGCTCGAGATACACTTGTTATATTCCATGGAATGCTCTTAACATCCCGATAGCAATGAATATCTTAAGTGCTTTGACAAAAAATCCATAACAACATTTAATCTGTGGAAGCCGTAATACTGTAAAAAGCACGACCAATCATTTTAGCCGGCCCGGCTAAAATAACTGGATGGCCTACCTGCCTGTCAGCCTTCCATCTGTGCACAAACTTATCTCGTGCCCTCATTGGTCATGTGCGCGTTCGTGTGTGTTGGAGGAGGGGCTTTGTAAGGAAGTGGCAGATTTTTTCCGGCTGTGTATTTTCAAATTCTAGCGATCTCGAGCCGGTTTCTCCAAAATGACCTACCCCACATTTAAAGACTTATAATTGTACCTTTTGTGACCCGGCCTTGTTTGGAGATGACACTTTTTCCTCGCTGCTCTCACTCTCCATTTTCTTTTTCCGCTCTATCTCCAGCTGTGCTATCTGTGTTCAATTACAGGAAAATTAAATCAAGTTGAAATGCAACATTTGTAATGAATACAAATGTGAATCCCTCACACATCCTCACCTTATAGGCCTTTATCAAGCGTCCAAACGTCGGGAAAAACATGGAAGGCTGCGTGGTTTTAGGATTCTCTCCGAAATACTCCACCACAGATCCGTATGCCTCCTACAAAGCAGACAGGAAGATGAAATCATGTCTGAGAGCATGTAGTGGGGTGTAGGTTGTACATTTGAGATGCTTTGCAGGCTGACCTGAGCTTTCTTGCTGTCTTTGATTAAAGTCTCCAGCTGCTCACTGTTGGTCTTGATGAACTCCTTCAAAACGCTGCTGTCGTCCTGCACCAGGAATTCCTTTTTGGCCATTTCCATTCCCCGTTCTAATGAGCGGATGTCCTGAAGAATGCCGTCCAATGATACTGTCCAAGAAACAACGACATTTAGTTGAGTAATTCTCCACATTTAAAATCACAAGCTACATCATTGGCCAGGTAGACTGAGTAAATGTACCGAGAGCTGCCTTGTCTACAAAGTGTAGATCAGTGTGGAAGTTGGACAGGTCTGGGTATTTCTCCTGGATGATGCTGGCGATGAAGTGGAGGAGGGTCTGCGAGCGGTCCGTAGACTTGGTCTCCAACAGCTGAAAAGGGAGGAAGTTGACAAAGATAAATACGTCATTTGAGTTGACTTAATTCAAGACTGCTTACTTTTTGACCACGAGTTACAATTTAGGAAAATGTTTCTCATTTGGAAACATCCACTAGGAACCTATAAACAACTGATAAGAAAGGTCAAGGTCACCATGACCTTACAACATCATTATTTTGCTAATCAAAAAGAAATGTCTAATAGGGAAGAATTATGAAGAGATGAATGTCAAAGGTTTTTTGCAAAAGCTACAACCTCAAGGGGGTATTTTAGTAACGTATGAATGTGTCTTTTGAGTAAGACAATGACATCTCCAATTTGATAAGTGAAATAGTCTTGCTTTAAAGTAAAAAAATGTAAGTACAAACAGCTACTTACAAGGTCGAGACTCTGCAACCGGAAGCCGTACGCTGCCCCCCTCTTACTGCTGTTCATGTAGTTACCGAAGGCGAGAACAATCTGAGGGGAAAACATGAGAAATCATTCATTCACACATTTGGAAGCTACTGAACAATTCATTTTGTCTTTTACTCACTTCTAATAACTTTTTCAGTTTGGTTGAAGACTTGATGGACATCGATGCAGCGATGAGGGAGTTCAGTTGCTGTGGAGGGGTAACAAACTCAGTTAAAGAGCGCCTCAGATCTCAGTTTCATTCTTAAATGCGTGACAGAGACTGACCGGCTGCAGGCGTTTGACAGTATCAGGGAAGTTGCCCATGAAAGTGAGAGTGCTAATGCGCTGCTTCAGACGAGGAATCTTCCCAAAGCGTAGAATAAACTGATCCTCGTCAGCCAGCTCCTCCAGCGGGCGGCCATCTTTCTCATAGTTAAGCAGCAGCTTCATCTCGAAATCTGACGGTATGAAGGGCTCGAGTAATTCCAGGTCTATGGACAAAGACTCCTGGTCATACCTGTACACAAAAGTAGTAAAAGCTACACCAGTTAATGTACGAGTGAGAAAAAAGGACGATCACTCAGAAATGTCAACACATTTTCCATGAAGCACGTACGTCTCGATGGCGGTGCAGATGCCGGTCGCGTTGATTCCCCCCTTGCGTAACGTGATGGCCAGATTCTTGGCCTTGTTGCCGTCAATCAGGGAGGTCTTGCTGGGGGCCTTCTGGACCACCTTCTTCTTGATAGTAGCAATGTCTGCTGGATTACCCTGTGCCCTTGTCTTGAAATGTTCCTCAAATATATCCATGTTCAACTCCTGATGTCCACAGAATGAGAGAAAGGGTAGAAAGTCAGGATAAAGAAAGAAATGTAGTTTGCTGACAGAAAAACAAAGGAAACAGATGTTGGAGCTTCTTACCTCTAAGACCTGCTCGTCATCCAGCTCGTTGAAGACAGTGCCGGTCACCTGGTTTGGTTTTAAGGCCTGCCAGTTTAACAACGGCATCCTGAACTTGGTCTGAATGGGCTTCTTGCTCTTGACGCCTTATGAAACAAGAAAAGGAGAATCATCAAACAAATAAGATTTCCATGAATTGAAGGTATAGTCCCTTAAGATGGCGCATGTCATTTTGAAGGAGTTGCTATAGAGACAAATACAAAATGATGAAACACATGCAAACACAAGCCTTACATAACATCCACTGCAAATACACAGATACAGAGAGACAGTTAGCTTCACCTCTGCCACCCACACCCCCAGCCATCAGCCCTCAGCTGTTTGTACAACATGAAATTGGCAGCAGTCCCCAGCAATAAATCAGTTACATCAGCATAGGGAGAAATCCAAGCAGCGTGTCCTCACTTCGCCTGGGCTACAAACTGCTTTGAAAAGAAATCAAGCTTTTCTGCCAGCCTCCTTACCAGATAGAGCGTTTGGTGCTCCAGGTGGAGGCGGAGGTCCACCACCAGGCGGGGGAGGTGGGGGTCCAGCACCAGGTGGGGGAGGGGGAGGTGGAGGTCCACCACCGGGCGGAGGAGGCGGCAGTGGGGGTCCAGCACCAGGTAGGGGAGGTGGAGGTGGGGGTCCGGCGCCAGGTGGGGGAGGAGGGGGTGGTGGTCCTGCTCCTGGAGGGGGTGGAGGAGGAGGAGGAGGAGAGGCCAGCCTGTCTGGACCACCAGGAGGAGGAGGAGGAGGAGGGGGTGGGGAAGCAGAATCAGTGACAGAGACACCAGTATGGGCGGCTGGGGGTGCGGGGGTCTGGATGTACTCCACCACGGTGACAGGCACCACCTGGATGTCCAGCCCCCCGGAGGCGCTGCGTCCCAGGCGGAGCAGCCCCCGGTCCTGCAGTTCCTGGACCTTCTGCTCCAGCTCTGAGGAGGTGGGGGGGGCGGAGGTGCTCAGGCGCTCCCGGTCCTTCTCCCTCTCCCGCTCCAGCTCCCGCTCCCTCTCCCTCTGCTGCAGCGCACTGACCTGGGAGCAGGACTGCTGCAGGCTCTCCTATCAGACACACACACACACACACACATCTCAACAACACGTCTTCCATTTCAGATCCGCAAAGCTATTTCCGTTGAGTCCTTTATTTGAACACACAGTCTCACCTCAGGGGTTGAATGAGAAATGTTCTAAAACAAGATTCAAACACAAAAATAATATATTTGGTTTTGCAGGAATTGGTCATAAACTGAAGAATTAGACCATGTTGACCTTGTCATGGTGATAAACGAACAGTTAAATGATTACCGTTACAATCAGAATTCAATAACTCTAGAACTAAAACTGATGGTGGCGCTAGAGGAAAATTCAGGGGATCACAAATGTCATTAGTATGAATACTCACAGAATCATTATTGCGTAAAATGTCATCTCCATCTCAAATAATTGTTATGATATTTCAATTGCCTTCCATAGCAGTGGTAAAATGCAAGGTCATTTCAAGAGTTATTTGACAAGTGCAAATCTTAATTTTTTCACATTAAAGATAATTAGATTTTACTTTCATATTATGATTA